CCCTGCCCCCCCCCCCCGAAAAATCTGAAGTGCACCCCACCCCGGGGAAAATTTCTGAAATAATCACTGGTCACAGCTAAGGTCGTAATTCATTTTTTTATGATTAATGCAGTTGTTAAAGTAGTTGTTATTCGGCAAAAAAGACTCAAAATCAAAGTTTTCAATAAATGGTCTAATGCGTTTTGTCTGAGTATGAGATGCTATCCGTGTTGCACTCTTGTCGTTGTATTTGGTGCTAGATGATTTTATAATATGGATATCAAGAGTTTTTAAACCATGCAGGCATTACAAATCTACTATCACTGTTACCGTTCTTCGTGAGAGTGGGCGTGTCATTGTTGGGTGTTGGCCTAATTTTACCCTGCTCGCAGCGTCAAACAACTGTTACCGAATGATGTGTGGCAGCTGACAATTTTAAATGTGTATTTGGTTTATAAACTTAAAAAGAAATGCTTGTCTTCGGAACTATAGCTTTTTTAAAAAAAATTGGTTCTTGGCGTGTTGTATAGAAAGGAGTGGTAGAAGAAACATTCTAAGAAAAAGTTCGAAGCAAAAGGATCCGAATAAAATGAACAATATAAAGATTCCTAATGGTGGCGGTGAACATTGGCGCACTTTGAATCTAAAAGCCCATATGCACGCTGACTGTAAATTGGGTCAGTCGAACTTACCAGCCAGAGAGCAACTACGTAACCCTTTGACCAGGCCTGTCGATTAATGACTTGACGTCTGGCAGATTTGCTGCGGTCAATTGAAAAATTCCCGGAGAATCCAATACGAAATAAAAGTCAAGATCCTGGACCAAGACCCCGAAGACTTAAATGTGTCTGATCACGTTCTGTCTCTGCTACATAAGACACACTTATATTTAAATACCAAGTTAAATGGTCGTTGAGATATATTTTAAATAGAAGGGATTGGCACCAGGGATCAGGCCTATTTAAGAAATTTTCCCCCGGGCTGAATTTCAGATTATTGGGGGGGGAGTGCCAGTTGATTTTTTGTTGCACATATTTTTGCTCGGGGGGGGGGCACTTGGCTTTCACCGGTGGGGGGCAGTGCCCCCCCCCCGAGATATAGCTGAAAGAAACCCTCATTAATAATAATAATAATAATAAAGTTCATTTCAAAAACACGCTTCATCCCCAAAGGCTCGAAGCACGGTACAAAGTCAACAAAAAACAAATCTATAATTTACAACATTTAAAACAAACGCAACACTACAAAAACTATTACAAGCATACAATGTCAAAGTCTTTCTACCCATTTCAACCCTAAGCAACACAGCCATTATGCATTAACTGGAAAATATGGTAGACAGTCATCCCAGAAGGTGTTTGCGAAATAAATGTGTCTTTAAATCGGTTTTAAAGGATAACCCATGGATGAATGTGAAAACTCCATTAATTACTTAATATTACATTATCGTCTAGAGATGTAGACTTGTAAATATATTGAGGTATAGAGAATACAATTTCCTCTTCCGACAAAATATTCTTTATTTCATAACTCACTACGGTTTCCGACAAAAAATAATGAACTTATTTTTAAAAAGCGCAAATTGTGGTTTCCTATCTAAGCGTAACCACATAACGTTTCTTCTGTATTTTGATTAATTGTTAATATATATATATATATATATATATATATATATATATATATATATATATATATATTATATATATATATATTTTTTTTTTTTTTTNTGAGTTTATCCACTGAGCTAACTGAGTTTATCCACTGAGCTAACTGAGTTTATCCACTGAGCTAACTGAGTTTATCCACTGAGCTAACTGAGTTTATCCACTGAGCTAACTGAGTTTATCCACTGAGCTAACTGAGTTTATCCACTGAGCTAACTGAGTTTATCCACTGAGCTAACTGAGTTTATCCACTGAGCTAACTGAGTTTATCCACTGAGCTAACTGAATGTAACTGCTGATTAAAAACATTGCATGTCGAGTTAATAAATTATAAATAGTGGTGTTAGTAGGGTAGTGGAAGGGAGTGAGGGGTCCGAGTGGCACTTTTGGGCGCAATTTTGGGGATTTCTCCCCAGACGTCATTTAGTCAAGGTACACCATTGTGAACAAACAAGAATGTAAATGGGTTTGATAGATAAGCCGCTGAAAGATTTGTAAGCCCTTTTCAGAACCGATTGGATCCGCTTTAGGGCCCATAAAAATCTTCAATTACTTGCCAGAAATGGGTAATGTCACCATAGTTACAGACATACTATTCTGGATTTAATGTCTAATATGTCTCTTTTTTTCTTGAAAAATTACCCTAAGACCAGTTTTACTTGATTCAGAAAGAAATTAGTAAAGTTAACCCAAAGAAACCAACACAACTCTTGTATCCAAATTAACACTGTCAAACAATGAGTTTTCATACAATGAAAGTTGCATTCTTAATTTGGATACTAGCACTGGGGTTGAGACCAACCGAAAGTCGGTGGTAATTAATTTATCAATACCGTATTTCCTTGTCCCTGTTACAATTGTTTACGCATAAAGAATATGGGGGTGGGGGGTGGGGGGGGGAGCTTTCCGGGGCGAAAAAATCGCAAGCGCAAAGCAGAACAACTACGTCATAATCGGAAAAAGAGCGGATCCCCACAGAGACAGGGAAGGTGGCGCCGAAGGGGGGGGTGGCTTCGCACAAGGCTTAACTGTGGCGCCCCTTACTTTGACGCCCCTTATAAGTATAATTATTAAAAGAAAAAAAACGAGTTATTCGGTGATGAGTTGATTACCTGTTATTGTTTTTTAAACAAACGATGAACAGTTTATTGTTTGTTTAAAAAAAAACACATAGGTAATAGACTCATTACCGAATAACTAATTTTTTTCTTTTAATGATTATACTTATAAGGGGTGCCAAAGTTAAGCTTACACAGGGCGCCAGCAACCGTCGGGATGGCCCTGCCCATCCCCCATCCACACACTTAAAAAGAAACAAAAAACTTGTTGATTTATACTTTTCAATTTAATTAACATGTTACTTTTGTAGCAATGTGGATGTTCGTGTGGGGGGGGGGGTGAACGAGGCTGACAGTTTTACTAAATATACCATAAAGAAATTCAGGTCTTGAGGACTATAGCCAATGTTCCCTCTAAGGCTAAGGTTTGCTGGTTCGTGTGCAAAATCATACAGTTGTGTGCAAAGTTTTACAGCATCAATTTTTTTGTGTGCAAAATTTTACAGCCTACAAAAAGAAACACACACTTACATGGAAATTTGCTGCGCGGTACTCAAAACTGCTTCGCGGTACTCAAAACTGCTGCGCGGAGTCTGTGAGGTAGCTGCGCAGTCGCGCAGCTTAAAGGGAACATTGACTGTAGCTTTATTTGTTTCCATAAACCACGTCAAAGAATAACAAAAAGAAAAGACCAAAGAAAAATCCTAAGAAGAAATCGTTGTTGACTGTGAAGAAAAGGGGCTAAATCTGGCAGGAAACAAGTAGGCGGCCTACAGGTTAACAATGTCCTGACTAACGTTTAATAACACAACTAACAAGAAACGTGTTAAATAACTACGTAATTACAAATGGCAACACAATATACTTAACTAATAATGCAGTAGTACATCTTATACAAAGGTCAATTAAAACTATTGTTATCGTAATAATGTTTAAATATAAAAGTAAGCATGTGGCGGTGTTTAACCATCACAGTATCATGGTTACACGTCAAACTGACGGAGCTGTTACGTGATGAAAACACTAGTAACATGGTTACACGTCAAACTGACGGAGCTGTTACGTGATGAAAACACTAGTAACATGGTTACACGTCAAACTGACGGAGCTGACACGTGATGAAAACACTGCCTAATATAAGTCATGAACAGAAATATTCCATTACATAACCCAATATTTAAGTATTCTGAGCAACGGAGAGACGCTGGTCATCTGCAGGGTAACTAATACCCAAGCCCTGACCCCGAGGTCACATTCCTCGTTGGGCGAGGGCAAATTTCCATACAGTGTTTTGGGCACTACATTGCCACAGTTATATAACTATTTACACTCATTAAATTTGTTAAAATTATGTAAGAATCAGTCAATTTTTAAGATTAAAATTTTAATAGAGAAAACATGATTGTTGACGTCAACTAATCTAAACCCACCCCACCCCTTGTCAACAATTGTCAAACATTTACATCCCCCCCCCCTTTAAAAAAAAAAAAATATTGACATAATTAATGGACGACAAAATTTCCCTACAGTGTTTTGGGCACTACATTGCCACAGTTATATAACTATTTACACTCATTAAATTTGTTAAAATTATGTAAAAATCAGTCAATTTTTAAGATTAAAATTTTAATAGAGAAAACATGATTGTTGACGTCAACTAATCTAAACCCCCCCCACCCCTTGTCAACAATTGTCAAACATTTACATCCCCCCCCCCCTTTTAAAAAAAAAAAATATTGACATAATTAATGGACGACCCCATAGAATTCGCGCGTTTGTCCATGAGAAAGCTTCAACTGTTGAGTTAAAGTCAACATCTGATCTGATCTTAATATAACTATTATGCAAAGAAGTGCAGTAACATTCATCTTATTTTTCAACAACATACAATTTACATTATTATTGATTCTTTTCAGAGTATGTCAACGTTAGGATAATTTTTTTGAAGTTCTTTTTCCGTAGCCACCCTGCAGAAATGAAAACGCTAAGGGGGCTTTAGTCTCAATATTGAAATCGTTATGTGATATTTCAGATGGACTATTTCGTAGCATCGTCTTTGAAAATCAAAAAGCAGGTTTCTCCCTCTTCTTGAAGTTCAGTAGAAGACAGCGACCAGAATTTTGTAATAGCTCCAAATCTTTCGCCAAACTCTTTTTAAGAAAATGACATTTCAAGTTCTACATGAGATTACATCAGTGTAAAATGTATTGGTAACCTTGAGATCGTTCATTTTCTGCCTTGCTGCTTCCATTCGTCGATGGGAAGTTTGAATGAATGTCATTTTTCCCTACGGTCTATTATTTTTAAATATTTTTTTATAGAGATAACGTTTTCCCGATTTAAAACTGTGCTTTTGTTTTTAGGAAGAGAAGGAAAGGGGGACTAACTCACGGATTGCATCGAGCGGCGCGAATCCTAGCTATTCCCCTTGACTGGTGGTAGAACAAGAACCGCTGTCAGGTAAAAATCCTCCCCACACTACATGGCTGTAAGATTTGTAAAAATTGGATAAAATAAATTGTGCTATAATTTGCATTATGGACATAGTCTTATATTATAACTGCAGAAATGTAAATAATAATCTAAAATCATCTTTAAATTAATATATTTCAAATAAATTTGAGTGAGTTCATTTTTATTTATAAAAAAAAATTATATGATATTCAACCCCCATAAGTTATATTATTTAAAAATTACAAAATCAATTATTTCTTTTCATAAAGAAAACATAGGCCCTACCTATTTTTTGTATGAATATGCTTCATAATTTATAGTCTATATTTTTAATTATTTGAATATGATAATTTTCCTTTTAAAATATTAAAAATAATAAAATCATAAACTCATATTCTTAAATTGTTTTAATAAGTTTGTCTGCCATTACAAAAGTATATTTAATTACAATTGTTTCTGTTGGTTGTGGATTCAGTTAATTGAGATGTAATATGAAATGTTTTAAATATTACTCAATCTTTTAATTTTATTGATAATTATTTTAATATACTTTCGTTCAGGGAAATGAAGATAGTTAAAATGAGGTTGTGTAAAAAATCAGCCCCCTGTAGTCACTGACTGACGTCAATATCCCGCCATTCATGTAGTGCTCAGAAAGTGACAACAATGAGTATCAAAGTGGATAAAGATGCCTTTTACAGGCGAATGAAAAAGATTTATTCATCATGGGCTGTGAGTTAATAATTGAAATTAAGGCCTTCATTGTTGTGGATTTTCATTCATGTTTCTTCATCACTTTAAACACTAAAAATTGTTCTTTTATAACGGTGTACCAATTTTCGATACAAGTATGAGTTCAACTCAACAGAAGAAATTTGTGTGTGAAAAAAAAGACCAAGGAGTATAAAAAATTAATGAACGCAGCAAATGCTTATTAAAATTATTAGATTGAAAATATTTAATAAAAGAAATATCTAGGCCTACTTGGAATATAATCTGATCTTCACAATCTGTAATTCATTTTTCATTATAATAATATAATAAAATTATAATAATTATAAATTATAGGCCTACCTGTCATGTTGTGATTTGTTTTGGGCTGAGGGTGGACCGGGTGGTAACTGCAAAGTAAAGGGATGGCACTTTTACCGGTTCACCGATTGGGGAAACCAAGATGGCGGCTGTGTAAAAATTAAAAAGTCACGTTTGCTAAAAGTAGGAAGAAAACAGTAAAATTTAATGAAATAATTTCCACCGGTACATATATATATTATATTTCGTTGATGTAGCTACTTTATTGTATCGGTCTAGATATATGGAAAGAAGCGTCAACAACCTGTGGTCGCCCCTTTCCTTGCATAATTCAGTCGGTACACACACAATAATTCACTGTCACTAAACCTAGCCTGAACCGTAAATGTATCCCTACCTGAACCATAAAACTAGTACTAAAGCCTCAAGTAAAATACATGAGTGCGGCTGCAGTTACACACTGTGGCAGAAAACTATAAAAATAAAGAAAAACAATAAAAAAAATAATTGTAAAATAAATAAATAATGAAAACCACACCTACGGTTTCATGGAATACACTTTTTACACACTTTATTACTAATATTACAGTGTTCATGTTCCACCGAAAAGAATATCCAGAAAATGAATAAAATGCAATGCCTGGCATTCAGCTCGTTTCAAATATGGCGTAGGCACTCCAACTCAAATTTTCAAATACATCTAACATACACAAAGAGCATAACATTGGAAAGAGCTGGCTCTAAGCTTTCCAATGACACCAAGATAATCTTTCTATCTGTTATAGGAGAAAAGTTATGAATTTTTTAGTGATTTATTTTTCCACACTATTCGGCTTTGTATTTAATTTTTAAGACTGTGATCGCATTATTACTCTTTTAGTACTATTTTGCATGTATCTTTTTGGCTATTAAAGTTAGAGCTCTCAAATTTGGAGGAAACATTTACAATACAATGTTTAACAAAACAAAACACATGAATTGTGAATTAACTTATTATATTTGAAAAAAATTGATTTTATTTGCACATGGCGTGGATAACGACAGTAGTTGAAAAATTTAATTTTACAAAAAATGACATAATTACTAAACCAATGAAGCTATTGCTATAAAATTTTCAATACAAACAGATTAATGTCCATCTAAAAGTAAGGCACATTTAAAATAAATAAAATGCAGATCAGAAAAATTTATGCAACGTTAGAAAAAATATTTCATGAAAAGCGACAGCGGCCGAGACATTTTTACACTTAAATAAATAACTTTTAAACTAATAAAGCTACTACAATGAAATTTTCAATACAAATAGATAGTGACAACCCAAATGTAACATAATATTCAAGTATTACAAAAGCAATTTAAATCATGCTATACAAAATTAAAAAACATTTTATCTATAAAAGTTATTAAATTAATCTCTATCTCTCATCAACATTATTGTACTGGTACATTTAAATACAAACATAAAAACATCCAATGCAATATAGCTATCCACAGTAATGGATAGTGTCCTTGTCCACAGATGGTATCCTTGTCCAGCTGAAAGTATACAAAATATTTAAAAATTAAATTTTAAAATTAGTGAACTGAAAATTGAAATAATTTCAATCAAAATATAAATTAACAAAATGAAAATCTCACATAAGAACATTAGAAACTAAAATTGACAATATTATTTCTTCATGATCTATGTTAAATAATATCAACTTACAAAATAATTTAACAGTGGTCTTAACATATCCTAAAGACAGAGCCATAACTGTCTCAAAAGATCGTGGACATGGTTCGTGGCTCCGGAGTTCTAGCAACAGTGGCAACACTTCATTCTCATCGATAGGTAGATTAAAAACAACATCATTGTCAACATCAAATTGGGTTGTTTATTGATCTCCTTCAGGTTGCAATGCATGTCCCACATGGAATCTATAGTAAAAACAAAGGAAAATGCTCAAGACAGACTCAAGTATAAGTTAATGACATTGCAAATATAAATTGTTTTTTAAACAAAAATCACTTTAATGAGACAAAATAAATTAAAGGAATGTCCCCAGTGTTAAATATATTTAATTAGGTAGTATGAATGTAGGTATAGTGTTAGTTTATCTAATAATAAAAGAATAATAACTAGGGTGGACTGACAAAAAAAAGATTGTTTGCAATCAAATCACACAAATAAAAGAAATTTCCCTAGTATTAAAATGTATTTATTTCATTAATTTAATTCAACTATGAATATAAGTCTAAAAATACACCCTTATAACTAATACTAATACTAGTAGTATTAGTTTATCTAATAATTATTAATAGCTAATAAATACATTGTTGTTGTTGAAGAGGAGTTCATTTTTGCAAATTGATCAATTTCTTGTTTAATATAGAATAATTGTACAAACTAAAAAACATTTTAAAAAATATTTTCTTGAATACATTTATATTGTTTATTCATATTAGAATCAAACAATTTTGTTTAATCAGATGTTTCAATGGCTTAGAAATGTTTTATTTAAAGCGTTTATTTCCAAATAATTTCACCTCCCTCCGGTCAATAAAATTGTGTAAAAAAAGATGGCCGCCGTTTTTTCATGACATGCGGATTTTTTTTTTCGAACGATATCTTAAATTCCTGAAATAGCCACTAACGTTAACAATAAATGATTTCGAAGTAAAAGTGATCAAGCTTGCATTATGTAAAGGTTTTAACCTTTTACTGGCTATAACAAAAATAACCGATCGACATGTTTACACTTACCCAAGTTTACGCTCCAACTGTTCGTCTGAAACAGGTCAGAATGACTCAGCATTTATACCACCGTGACCGGAATTCTTCGGCAAATAAAGTTTAAGACTGAAACTTATTTATTTTTAGAAAATGACGCATAGGAACGAAAAAGCCCGACATATACCGAAACCCGCCCTTCACGGCTGGTCACAGAAATGTACCACGCAAAGCCGGCAGGTTTTTTTGCCCGCGTAGTCCAGTATTGGAGTACCTATATGGCGGAACAATTCAAATATTATAAATACTCAACCAATGTCAATGAAATTTTAAAATTATAATAATTAACTAATAAAAATGTAGGTAAATTTTGACTACTATTGCCACTATTTTCTCAATGGCCACCATCTTGGTTAGCACGTCACGTGAAGTCATCTATCTCTATGCGTAACCTGAACCCTAAATCGATCACTATGACTATGCCTAACCTAAATCGATCCCTATGCCTAACCTGAACCCTAAATCGATCCCTAAAATAATTTAGTAAAAAATAAACGAAGGGAAGTCACTCCCTGGAAAATAAGTCGTGGCAATCGTAACTAAGATTAGCCAAAATGTAATTAAAACATGCCATTCTCATATTAAGGAAAATGTAACTCTATTTCACAAAAAAATAAGGGCAGTGAATCCAAAACAGAAACTGAATAAAAACATGTAAATGACGTCATGGCTACTTCCCTTTGCATTGGCCGGGGTAAATTTTGTGTCATAAGCCTGGCTTTCACTTTGGTGAATCCCAACATTGGACTTAAAGTGATTAGAGCAATTTTAGGACCTGAACGATGCGTGTGATAACTTTCCATTTCTCCACTGAGCATTATTCGTGTCATAAACTAAATCTATCTAGACGGTTAACTCATTCCCTCCTGCAATGCTACTTCCGTATTTAATTTATTTGCCTGAGAAAGGGAAGTAACCCCGTTTGGAAATTGTTTACATTTTTTTAAAAATGTATTTAAGCTACTAAATATTATTTAATGTTAATGAATTAAGAACAAATGCAACAAAAAATTAATAAGGTTTAATATAAATATAACATTAGCGGGGAAAAAATAATGAACAATGACCAAAAAATCGATTTTCGGCACCTCGGACGAACACATGCTACATAAAGACGCGCCGTACTAAAGCACACGTAGTTTTAAAGCGAAACAAGATAAAAACTTCCGGTTTTTAAATTAAAATCACGCTGAACCACGCCATCGCCGGAAGTCTCGAGGGATGCGAGATTTCATTGCTATTTTTAAATAGATATGAGAGAGGTGTGTCGCTATGCGCCGGGACGCATTTGGACGCATCCGGCGAATCCCGAAAAGACGCATTTAGTCGCAACCGTCGGGAATGAGTTAATATGAAATATTTTAAATGAAATTTTTCATTAATTTGTATTAAAATGCAACTTTCATGTTTCAAAAGAAAAAAAAAAAAAAAAAAAAACATCCTTGCTGATACTAGTCATACCCCAAGACCCAACACTGGTATAAAAAAAAAAAAAAAGTGCTGTCTTGTGATTAGCCCTAGTTGAAAATTGAAGTACCTGTATGTGTTAAACTTGGGTAACAAAAGGGAGACCACTGCTTAAATTGTATTGACAATTGGAAATGGGTGTGGTTGCAACAGCTTAGGAAATATTTAATTACCGGTATTTGTGTTCCAGAATGAATTTAGAAGTGATTTAAATCGGAATATTTTAATTTGAGGTTTAAAAACCGGGTTGATTCCATATTATAAATTATCATTATTTTACTTTATTAAAAAATAATCGAAATAGGAGCTGTAGATGGAAAATGATCTAGGGGAACCTCCATGACCTATATACTGTTTTAATGACCTTAATTTTCCAAATTCATTCGTATACAATAGGCAAGGCATCATTCCATAAAAAAAAAATTGAGGAAATTAAAAGAACATGTCTTTCATATTAACCCTTTACATGACAGAATAGCTCCTTTTACTAGCTCTGAACGGGTAACATTTTTCCGGTTAATTGTACGATTTAGGGTTACATTATTAAAAACATCAAATCTAAGGTGTTATTAGTAAACAAATTTTTGTGGGGAAAAAAAACAAAATAAAGGAAAATGAATGCAGATTTAACTGATTATTATTTGACTTTAACTCACATGTTGCCAGTAATCCACTCATGAACACAAATATTTGCAAAATACAACATATTGTTTTTTATTGTCGGTCATCTATTTACTATTTACAAACACTGCCACAAAATCGAGTACAGTTAAACACTGCTTATGCTGATATCACTAATAATATTATCTAGTTCGAATTCATAGTCAATTTCGTGCACTTCAATGCCACTTAAATTGAACCCAGCAAAATCTCCGCTGTCACTTGAAGAATCTTCGAAGTCCATTTTGAAAAAAAAAAAAAGCATTAAAACCCTGAATACTACAAAAAAGTTCGATCAAATACTTGTAACTGGCGCCCAAGCTATGGGCAGAAACGAATGTAAACAATAGGACGTCTCTGAGATCTCGTATTTACAACTCTTAGCTATCAGGGACGCATTCTGATGTTTGCCCTTTAAGTAGTAAAGACGTTTTTGGCCGCTGTGCCCTGTAAAGGGTTAAATACTGAAAAGCATTATATATTGTTGTATATGTGTGCCAATTCTCATTGATGTAAGCTGTGTCAGACGTTCGTTATGCTCATCCCAATAACCTGCATTATTATTATTATTGTAAGGCTGCTCCGCCCAATTTTGACCCCACCCCCTTTTAAATGGTGGAGGATGTTGATACTTGGGAAATATTCAATTATTACCACTATTCACCTCAAAATATTTTATAACTTGTTTTAGAATGAACTTATTTAAACAAGAATTAATTTGAGGTTTAAAAACCTGGTAGGGTCCATAGTGTCACTTGCATATACTTTGCTATTATTATCATAGTTTCATTCATAAGAGATTAATAAATAATAATAATAAAGTTTATTTGAAAAACACGCTTCATCCCCAAAGGCTCGAAGCGCGGCACAAAGTCAACCATGTTTAAAAATCTATAATTTACCACATTTAAAACATACGCAACACTACAAAAACTAATTACTAGCATACCAAGCCAAAGTCCTTCGACCAATTTCAACCATAAGCAACACAGCCAATATGGATTAACTGGAAAATGTGGTAGACAACATCATCCCAGAAGGTGTTTGCGAAAAAGATGTGTCTTTAAATCGGTTTTAAAGGACTCCAGTGTCTGTTTGTTTCTGAGAGCAACAGGAAGGGCATTCCAAATTGTTGGGCCAGCAAATGTGTGAAAGTGCGCTTTCCGTAAGTCTCAAGGCGAACAAGTGGTGTCGAGAGTTTGCAAACACTGTTAGTCATTAGTCAGTGAAATCTTTAGTTAATTATTCATGTTAAAACTTTGAAACTTCAAAATAATTCTTCCCAAACAAGTTGGGGGGGGGGGGGGGGGTTTGCCTTACATAGTCTATAACTATAATATAATATAATTGATGCCTTACATATAGTGACCAGGTCATCCATAGCATATTTATTAAATTTAATGATATTACATAGCGACATAGCTCGATAAGTTCTTTTTGTGATATTTTTTAAATTCTTTTAATAATTTTTTTTAACAAAGTACCTAAACATAGTCTAGTATGTAGGCCTACTGTTCTTCTTCTATATCTTAAGGGCCCACTATCAATTTATTGATCATTTTGGCTCCTATGCATGTAGATGGGATTTGCAATGTTTCTGTTACTGGTGTTGATGAGGAAATCATGCACTAGGGGTTTGAAGGCTTGAGGCAATAGACACAAATGTGTCTAGTGTTGTCGCCTCAACCGTTCCTTTTGAAAGATTGTTCCAGTCCCTGATTGTCTTGGGCAGGAATGAGCAGCTCCTATACTGGCTTCTTGCTGGTATGAGCCTGAATTGCCTGTCATGGCCTCGTCGCTGTCTATGGGGGAGAGGGACGAGTTTCTGTTTAATACTGGAACAGTGGACCAGCCCATTATTTATCTTGTACATCATGGAGAGCCTGGATTGTCGTCGTCATTTCTCCAATGGTGACCAGCCTAGTGTTTATAGCATGCTGCCAACACTAGAGGTATTCCTGTAGCGGTTTAGGACAAAGCGTGCTGCTCGTCGCTGGACCGCCTCCAACCTGTCAATGCTCTTCTGTGTAAATGGGTCCCAGACTGAAGATGCATAATCTAAAATCGGACGGATAAAGGCTTTATATGCTCTTTCTTTCACACAGGAGTTGCCAATCTTTAGATTTCGCCTTAAGAACCCTAGGGTCTTGTTTGCTTGGTTACATACATTGTTAATATGCTCGTCTCATCGGACCTCTCTTTGAATGGTAACACCCAGGTACTTTACGGAGGAAACTTGCTCAAGTTTATGGCCGTACAGTTCGTATTGGTAGTGTAGAAGAGTACAATGGTCTATTTTATAATTATAAGGCAATGTGTCGTAAAAAAATTCTGGTTAGGGACTACTTGTTTTTAATGCATGATGCTAGCTAATGTAGATGCTTAACTCCAGATTCTTAAAAAAACAGTTATAGTAATTGTATTATTTTACGGAAATCAAATTAAATCTGATATAATATATATGATTTTATGCCAGGTTAAGTAATTGTAATAATATTTAAGTACTTTTGTACATTAGAAATAAATTTAATATACAAATTAAAGAAGTATTTTAAGTATTTATATGTATGTGAGAGTAAAAATATTGTATATCATTTTGACAGTGAAATTATCAAACCCTATTCTCGTTTTTTCCTGGAATGCATAATAATAGTTTTTCATTTTTTTAAAACTTTTCGTATAACTGAACATTGCTAGTAATAGTAGTATTATTGAACACATCACCCGGACAAACATTTACTACAAATATCCAAAGTACTAATAAGCCAGTGGGATTGTGTGTGTACAGACATATGCAGATGTTCATACCATGAAGTATCGTTCGGTAACCGGGACAAAAATTGTTAATAAATTTGTTATTTGTACATTCTGTTTTATTTTTTTTTGGAGTGGGAGACTTTAGAAAGTGTTGGGGACCCCTGAACTAATCTGAAACATTAAAACCTAACATTTTGGTATGTTTTGTTTAATCAACTTGTAGAAATCAACTGGAGATGAAGGCATAGCCAAAATGGATGCTCTAGTAACAGCCGTTGGTGTTGATGAAGAAATAATATACTCAAAATCAACTGCTTTGCAGGTAGGAATATAGTACCTTGAAAAGGAATTAATTGTTCAGTTTCAGAATGTTGTCTATTCCCACTTTTAAGAATACACTTTTAATACTAACCTTTTTCTTTAAAAAAAAATAATTCAGACATGGCTCTTTGGCTATGAACTGACGGACACCATCATGGTCATGTGCCAGCAAGTGATATGCCTGATGGCCAGCAAGAAAAAAATAGAGTTTTTGAAACAGTTGGATAGCTCTAAGGAGAATGACCAAGGAATCCCTGCGCTTAAGTTGATAACAAGAGAAAAGGTAATTGACTAATGACTGTGTATCTAGATTTCATTGTCAGGCTTAACTTAGCTTGTAACACATTCTTTAAATATTTTTGGTAACTTATAGTTAGAGAAAAGCTAACATAAAATTTTTAAAGGATAATTTCAGATATGAAAGAATGCCTGCAGAATTATTTTATGTTTAATGCCATATTGTGTTTTGATTAATTTTGAGACATTCAACTTCTTATATTATTAAAAGTAAAATGCAGTTTGAAAGTTTTGAGTCCAGATTTTATTTAAATGTCTATGCACTGATGATATAGATATTTTTACCAGTCAGTTTTTCTGTGTAAAAATTGTTATCGAAAAATGGTACAACTGAAGCGTTTTACACGATTTTTATTATGTTTCAGGGTGATAAAGAGAAAGATAAAGCAAACTTTCAAAAGCTTATTGAGTATGTTAAAAAAAGTAAAAAGGTGGGTTCTTTTATCTAATTATTCAATTAGCTTATTTACAATGAATATGCACTAAATAACACCAGCTTAAATTAATGACCCAAGTTAATCAAGTGCACTGTGATCATTTTAGGGGAAAACTGTTGGAGAGTTTAGCAAAGACAAATACCCAGGGGATCTTATGGAAGGATGGAGAAATGCAATGAAAGAAGCTGGATTTGAAAAAGTAAGATCTCATAACTTATTATATCAAACTCTTTTCCATTTTTAGTTTAATATAATTTTGTATCTTTTTCACATATTTAAAATTGGGTTATTGAGAATATATGCTTAATAGTCCCATGCTTTCTTAGTTTACAATATAATTTAATGTATTATTGTATAACTTTTTACTGTGGGTTAACTTTATTGTAATAAGTGTGTGTTTCTGAAAGCAGATAGTGTGCTACATAAATATTTAAAAAGCTGCTAATTTCTGAATATTTTAAAGTAATGGTTCCAAAATGGCATTTTAGGTAGATGTTTCATCACAGTTTGCCTACATTATGGCTCCTAAGGAAGAATCAGAAATCAAAACAATTCAGAAAGCCAGCCAGGTGACCTGTGATGTATTCAATAAATACCTGAAAGAACAAATCATGGAAATTATTGACGCTGACAAGGTAATTGCTCATATTCAAAGATTGATAAAGATTATAATAACAGACCTGTTTACTCTTACGATTTTGGCGTACAATGTACGATTTTGAGATGTCTTTTACGATTGTACGCCGAGACCCGCCAAAACTACGATTTTCAGAGAGCCGGTGAAAAAAAAAAAATTTCCGATTAAAATTCGTTTGTTGAAGTTTTAGCCTTTTCCAATAAAAATCTGGCAGTGAATGAAACGAGAAAAACGATTGGTTGTAATTTTTTTTAAAGTTGGGGCCATCCTTCATTATATTATGTGCGCACTGAAAGGGGAGGTGGGGGTTGTTAATGAAGGAGAGCTGCGGCATACGGGACACATGGGTGGGGGGTTGGTCGGAGTGTCAAAGGTTATAAAAATATCACCGCAAAGTATCGTATTGATGGTGATGATTGTCATACTGTTGCTTTGTGTGTCACACTGACCTAGTTAGCTGCGTCACCGGTAATATTTATACTATTCACTGCCATCCCCTTTGACTGCTACACAGCGTGTGACGTAGTTTTGTTCCCTTGAACCGCGGCGATTGTGAAAATGGGGAAAACTAGAGACGATATGGTTTTAAAATAAAATACATGATCCCACTGTTACTGCACTGGAACGTTGGATGTGGACGTATTTTATCAGAGCTAGTCAGCGGCATTTAAAAAAATATTGGTAGAACTGGCAAAGCAGCTCTTTACCCTCAGCGATCGTAATACCACAGTTTGGTATCACTACTAATACTGCCCCCCACCCCCACCCCTTTTTAAACGGAAAAAAAATCAAACGACGGCTCAATTTTTTCCCCAATAATGAGGGGGGGGGGGGGTTCTGCCCGGTGGAAATAATTACGTCACCAGCACGGAAAGATGAATTACTGACTACAGTGTGTTATCAATATGTCATGTTCAATTTTACAACTACAGCCTACAGAATACTTTTGTCAAAGCATTATTAGTAGCTTATATGAGTAGGCCTGTATGCTTACTGCGAAATCTTGTAATATTTCTTATAGCCTTGATAATATTAATAATAAAAGGCCTAATTAAAATTTGCGGATTTCACAGATTTTCATATGACAGTTGGCTCTATAAGACCCTTTGTTTTACGTAATAGTTAGATGGTCATTTGTTTTACGTAATCGTAAGATGGTCATTTGTTTTACGTAATCGTAAGATGGTCATTTGTTTTACGTAATCGTAAGATGGTCATTTGTTTTACGTAATAGTAAGATGGTCATTTGTTTTACGTAATCGTAAGATGGTCATTTGTTTTACGTAATAGTAAGATGGTCATTTGTTTTACGTAATTGTAAGATGGTCATTTGTTTTACGTTGACAAAGTGCGGCTGGGGGGGGGGGTATAAATATTTTATACAACTTTTTAATGTTTATTTTGCGTACCACATATGTTATGCATGAATGTCACATTTCCCAAACAGCTTTGGCGTTCGAATTTGGCTACATTGACGGGTGTGCACATTGCCTGATTTTAATGTTACCATTAATGGAATCAGCGATCCTTTTTATTTTCGGTCCCCTAGTTTAGTTTACTTAGTGAGTATTTTACGATATGGCCTCGACAAAAAGAAATGCACGCGAAACCGATGACGAAGAAGAAACTTCTACTTCTACCGATAAACATCAACTTCAACAAAAGATAAAGAAAGTTGATAGTCTTGCTTGAATATGAGACACAATTTACTGTGTTGAGGTCTTCATAGAAGGGTCCATCATACGCACTGCACATTCTGCAAGTCGGACTTTTCAGTAGCAATCAGAGGCAAAATGAGTGGTGTGGATTTAGAAGATAGTGTGTATGGCGCGGGTCTAAATATTTAAATCTATAAAATCAACTCCGCCACCTACATTTTCGTAATGTCAGTTTGTGGGGTGTGGAAAGGGGGGGGGGGGAGGATATTCCTCGGCAGAAAGTACATGCGGTATTTAAAAAGACTACACTATTCATCCCGAAACTCTGAAAGTCCTAAAATAGCACATTGATATTTACCAGCCTATGTTTGCAGGAATTACCGTCGTGATGTTGTCAAGATGTATTTTCACAAATGAACTCGCTAGCTATACCTAAACTCAGTATTAGAGAAATTACAGTAATGTTTAGTCCACCGAATGGTAAGGCCACGTGTTACGTATAATTCGGTGGGCTACGCCAGTGGTTCTAAAATTTTCGTTTCCCTGCGCCTATGCCACACTACGTTTTCACCAGGCTCCCTGTGTTGAATTCTATCATGTACAATTCGAAATAGCGAATACACAAATAAAATAAAGGTTGGATAAAAATAAATATAACGTGTATGTAGGTCACTGAGCGCCATCGGGAAATGCAAACAGCAATTGCTTAGTGAGTTACTGTTTGCACCACGACCGAAAGTTGTCACATTGGTTTAAAAGTGAAAATAAAATAATGAATTCTTAAAAATATTTCGCAACGCCCCGATGAGGAAGCCGCAGCCACCGAGGGCAACGAGCACCCAAGGCGATGTGGCGTTTATTCTGGGAACCACTGGGCTGAATCACCAGTAGTGAAAACCCGTGTCACATTTTGTTTACTGTAACATCATAATATACAATGGATTTTGTTAAGTTTATGGGGGGGGGGGCTGGGCTGGTGTTTTAAAGCTCACTGTACCGTACACACAAAAAAGGTGGGGGTTCCAATTTGTTACCGGGTAATTCATTCTTAATTTAATACATTTTATTTTATGCTTATCAGACGTCAAGTTTTAATATGTATTAGCCGATACACGTCTGCTAAACAAAGTGACCGCAGTTTGCCGTTAACGTCAGTCATCTACTGTTTACCTACAGTTCCATATTTTGACGCCAGCTCAGCTCGATTCCACTGAACACGCTATAGGAGTAGTTATTGTATACATTATATATACTGTATTTTTATTTATTTACTATCAAAATACTGCATTGTACGATTTTGAGACCATATTGTACGATTTTAGGAGTTTGGGGGTAAACAGGTCTGTAATAAACTTTGTGTGATCTCTTTAGATAAAATGTAACCAGGTAATTGTTAAAAAAATAAGCGTGCAACATTTTTTAATCTGTCATGGCACTTCACAGCTAAAAAGAAATATATTTGGAACATTTTAATTTTTTAATATTATAATTTTAACTGTACCATCTACATACTTAACATTGACGAATGAAGATAAAAAATTGCAGTAAAGTTTCTGAATACAGACATAAAACAGAAAACTAATTTCTTATAAATAACTCCAAGGACTTAATTAAATAACAGGTTATATAACTAAGCGTGAACACTTGTATGTTGAGAATGTGAATAGTTTTGTGAATGACTTAAAAAGACTCATTGTCGTTTTGACAGTCTTGATTTTAGAAATATGCATGGCAAGATGCATCTGTTTAACAACAATAGTATTTCACAGAATTTTCCATTATTCACTGGATAAAACGTGATGTTGTTATTAAAAAGTGAATGCATCCAAGGCTTCTGGGCCTGACAAATTTAAGAGATCCTGAGCATCAACATACTCACCACAAACTGACATCACCGAAGTTGCAAGGTGTCCAGTTGAAAGAGCTGGTCCTTCGAAAGTCACAATGAATCTGATTAAATAAAATTTGGCAAAGAAAGCAATGTGAGAGAAAAGCGGCTCCTTGGGCAAAGTCTGAATATAGAAAATTGTACAGCCACGAAATTGACAAGTGAAAAGCGATACTTAGTTACAAGCTTTATTATTTGGTGTGATGAAAATTTTCTTAAATGAATTTCTCAAAAACTAAAGAAATGGTTATCGATTTCCGAAAGGGAATCACCCAATTGCAGATCTCACAATAAAACATCAAAGTATAGAGCAAGTAGAAACATATAAGTACCTAGGTGACAAGCTGACATGGCATGAACATTACCAAATTCTGTATAAGAAAGTCAAAGACTTTTCTATCTTTAAAAAAATGTACAATTTTCGGCACAAAAAAACAAGTTATTAACTTATTCTACAGAAAGCCTCCTAAACTTTAGTATTACCTGCTAGTGTGGGAATTGTCTGACATCAAACACAGAGAAAGCTAGTAATATCATACAAACTTGCCATCCTTCACATGAAGAACTATTTGATTAAAAATGCTGTTGTAAAACTAACGAAAATTTGGATGATATATCCCACCTTCTTCACCACAGATACCTAAGGGGCCATCCATAAAAGACGTCCACCAATTTTTTGCTATTTTTTAAACACCCCCCCCCCCCTTCCCCTTTGTCCACTTTTGACTAGACACACACACACACACACCCCACCCCCCTTGTGGACGTCCAAAACATAAAATTTACCGAACTTAAATTAATGAATATTTTGGGAAAATGTACAACAATATAAAGAGTATGTATTTACAAAGATTTTTTTAACCGAACTTAAATTAATGAATATTTTGGGAAAATGTACAACAATATAAAGAGTATGTATTTACAAAGATTTTTTTTAGAAATTCCAATTATTTGCAGGCAAAATTCTAAATGAAATAATAACTGTTCAAAAACATTTTATTGAATCACTGTATTAAAAAATGTAATAAACAAATAATCCACCATTCTTCAATCAACGGAAAATTCGGACTGCAGCCATTCAAACATGTTTCGTATAATGACAACATCTGTTCTTGAGTCTTCAATTGCTAATTCAATTTGAGTGGCAGTCTCTTCGTCTGATTCGTCTGCCATATTATGTTCACTAGCAGGAATATTGCAATGGACGACCTTATGTTTTTTCATTGCCACCTGTGATGGGTAATATTTACCGCAGAAACATATTCTCTTGGAAATTCTCCAGCCACCTTTGGACAATAGAGATCAAAAGGCATGCTACTGTAACTGATCGGGCAGTCAATTTGCAGTAAATTTATGCAAAACTGCTGTACTCAAAAAAACACTACAATGTGGACATCCACTTTGTCCTAAACCCCCTCCCCCCCTTTGTCCACTTTAGTCCACTTTTTGCTGAACCCCTCCTCCCCCCTTTTGTGTGGACGTCTTTTATGGATGACCCCTAAGTTCAAGACAAATTGGTTCTCTTATAGTCAGGACCAAAAAGATATAAAAATTCTTTTATTCCCCTGTGTGTACGAATGTACCTGCGTGCTCCCCCAGCAGTTAATCAAAGCTAAATGATCTCTAATTAAGTCGTTATTGTCACTACAGGAGTGCACTGATGGCTGATTTCTACGCTAGAGAAATACTTAAGATGTATTGTGTTTAAATTGTTAAATTGTAAAATATTGTCTGGGTTACCATAATATGTATTTATTTATGTGCTGAAAATGAATATGTGAGATCTGTTAACCCTCAAACTCTTAAAATCATACAATATCATCACAAAATCGTTCAATACATTATCTTAATAGTAAAAAATAAACATACAGTATATATAATTGTACACCTCTAAATCGTACATTGTATGCCAAATTCGTAAGAGTAAACAGGTCTGAAATTACAATGTAATAAAATAAAAAAACTTTCCATTTATCTGGATAAAAAAAGAACCTATACTCTCACATAACATGTTTTTTAACTTTATTTAAATGCTACTTTAAAGTCTTTATTAACTCCATACAGAGATGATGATATTCTGGACATAATTTTATTTTGTTCATGATTTTCATCTTCCATTTAAATGTTCCACAGAAAGTGAAACACATTAAACTCTCGGATGGTGTGGAACAAGCCTTACAAAATAAAAAGTATGTGTCTGGAGTTGACACAAGCCAGCTTGATGTTTGCTACCCAGCAATCATTCAGAGTGGAGGCAAATACAGTCTCAAATTCAGCACAACTAGGTTGGTAATCTGCACTTCATTTTGTGAAGAGTACTTTCTCATGTTTGGGCATGTCATGACTTGATTTTTTGAAGGTACTTAAACTTATCGGCATTAACCCACGAATTGTCGTCGGCCAATCTTCTCTTCCCAAACCGTGTTGGCCGATAAAATTGACTGATAAAAATTGTGTTGGAATAATAAGTTCCAGTCCAATATTTTACACCAAATAAAACTAATTCCTTTTATTAATAAATAAACTTCTGTTTTTTGCTCTTCTGTGTCCTTTTTTTAAACTTTGGAGTTATTTTTACAACGATCTTTATCTAGCAAATTTATGTCAGTAGATTTTCGCGAAGTGGATGAGGTCATAGCTGGACCATCTGGCTTACAAAATAAACCAGTTAGGAATCATTTTGATAATTCTTTTCAGTTAATGACTTAAGTGATTCAGAAGATTATTTCCCGATCACACACAAAGACAAAGATAATTCTGATTATTTTTCTAGTGGGTCAGAAAGCGAAACTTCGGATAATTTAGACCTAGGCCTAGAACGAGTAGGCGTTGCTGCAACAACAGGACTCGTTCAAAACTATGTTGCAGAAGATTTTGTACCAACAAAAATAATTAGATGTTCTATGTTTTCTTATATTTCATTTTATGGATTAAATATTTATATAGAAGCTTTGTAAATTGTATCTCTTTCTTGCTATTTAGTAATGTTTATATTGTTGTGCTTGGTTACTTGAAAGTAATTATAGGTATCAAAAGAAATTTTAAAAAAAAATCTATTAGTAACTACAACATATAAAAATTATACATTTTCTGAAAGATGAATAAAAATGTGATCATATTATATAAACATTATAATAATATGCCTTTAAAAAAAACACTAAAGAAGGTTACTGTCTTTGAGGTACTTGAAAGAAAATTTTTCTACTCCAAAGTCATGGTCACAGTCAGCAAGTATAAAAGATCATTAGAAAATAGCCAGTATGATTCCCCACTCAGTCTAATTTTAAAAAATACATACTTTGTGGGGTCTAGCTTTACTATTTTCATGTGAAAAATCACATTTTTCAAAGGCACCCAAAAAGCTTTCAATTGCCCGCACAGTACAGAAACATACAATGGACAGTTCGTTGGTTAAATTATATTATAGATTGAGAGAAGGGAATAGAAAAGTTGGCACTGCTTTAACTGAACCTAACATTAGCACTTTTTTAACCCAAACTTACATTAGCACTGATTTAACCCAACCTAACATAAGCACTGATTTAACCCAAGCTAACATTAGCACTGCTTTAACCCAACCTAACATTAGCACTGCTTTAACCCAACCTAACATTAGCACTGCTTTAACCCAACCTAACATTAGCACTGCTTTAACCCAACCTAACATTAGCACTGCTTTAACCCAACCTAACATTAGCACTGTAATAACCCAACCTAACATTAGCACTGCTTTAATTAAACCTTACACGTGGAATATTTAAGGATGCAAAAGTAAATTTTCCACTTATGCTTTAGGGGGTGCTTTTCATTTTGATGCTGAAAAGATGCCATGTGTTTGTTATCATAAACTTGCATACACACTAGATTAAATAGCAGTTCATGTTTTGTTTCAGTGATGAAAATAACCTCCAGTTTGATGCCATTGTATGCGCCATGGGTGTTCGCTATAAGTCCTACTGCTCAAATATTGTACGGACACTGCTCGTCAATCCCGTAGAACCCATACAGAAAGTGTACGAGTTCCTTGTTCAAGTTGAAGAGGAGGTCATCAATAAATTGCAACATGGTACGCACCTGTGTCACTTGGATCTTTATTTTACTTGATATATGAAAATTAATATTTTTCAAGATTCTATTTGTGATATTTTGGGGATTAAACCAAAACCAATAAAATTAGTGATTTTCCAGATCTACATACTTAAGTTTATAAATTTGAACAAAAAATTTTTTCTTTACACAAAGGTGTAAAATTAAGTGATGTTTATGATGCTGGACTTGCTTTTGTGAAGAAAGAGCACCCAGAGCTAGAGAGCAAGATGATCAAAAGCTTTGGCTTTGGTATGGGCATTGAGTTCAGAGAAGCCTCCCTTCTCATCGCACCTAAAACAAGAGCACCGGCAAAGAAAGGTACCTTATAAAATTAAGGCTGTATGAAAGTTACTGCGCTGTTGTCTTAAACTTCTTTTATTTATTTTTTAAATAATATGAGATCTTACTTAATGTTATGTTGAGTCGGGTTTGTAATGGTAAATAATTTTTCACTAACTTTCAGGTATGGTTTTTAATGTGAGTATTGGCTTCGCTGACTTGTCTTCTGGCTCGAATGACAAAGGTGATAAAAAAGCCGCTTTGTTTCTGGGAGACACAGTTCTGGTGAATGAGGTGAGATCTGGGCATTACATTTTGTGTGTTTTTAATTCACAAATTTTGAACATTTATGGATCAGAAAAGTGATTTTAAACTGTGTCTTATTTGAACTAAATAACCAGGGTTCCCGCGGCCTCCTGAAATTCCAGGAGCTCCTGGAAATCTCCTGGAATTTGAAAACAAATGATAAAATCCTGGAAAACTCCTTAAATTTTAAAATTTCTCCTTAAATGTCCTGAAATTTTTGTTTCCACAGAGGGAGGGGTAAAAAAAATCTTGGTCGCGATAGTTATTTTATAAATTAATATTACCGCTATATTCAATGCGTAGTCTATTTTTAGCCATTCATTTATCAAAACGAGTTTGCCATAATAATTCTAGTGGTTTCCCCTTAACTGCGCATGCGCTTTACGAGTTTCGGATAAGAAATGTCGTACCGTAATGCTTTGATAGACAAGAAGTTTTTTTCGTTCCGTTCAGTTTGCCGTTCAACTAATTTATTTGGTAAGTATAGTGTAAAATACAGTAAATAGATATTTATCTGTAGTTATTTAAATTTTTGGTAACTATTATTAGTATTATGAATAGAAAACTACGCGCCCGATCGCTGTATAATTTGACTAAGCTTAGCCTATTTTTTTTTTTTTAAAGTTGAAGTTTTTTTAGTTTTACCGTAGGTTGTCCAAACTGGAGAAAGCGTAGTTTTAGTTTTGGGGTCATTTTCCGAAGTTTTCAAAAACAAAAATTAACTTACTTATATAGTAGTTTTAAAGGAGTACAATTGATATGAATATGTGAATAAAGTTTAAGTCTTTATCTGACGAATTATCTTACTTTTATGTCTTTAACACGAGTTTGAAAAGTATCAGTTTTGACCATTATATTATACGGCTATACGGCGTTTTCGCGAGTATGGTGTTGCAGACGCTCGCGGCTGTTACAGTTTGCAAAGAAGATGAATTTGATTTTTATTTATAAATATTAACAAAAGGTAGTAAGTAGTAGGCCTTTTTTAATAACAATTTCAATTATATTGACACATATTTTTTTAAACATAGTTTATAGTGAGTGCTAGGCCTTTTTGCAAGTTAAGTTTAGTTAATAAAAAAGTGGTTGCTTAGTCGCTGACCCATTCCCCTGTTTAAAATCCGGTCTAAGCAGTTACATAGGCATATGCCTATATTAGTTTCTCTTCTGACTCTGTATTATTATTAATTTAGTACCGGTATAACTTATAATATAGTCAATATTATAGACCTAATATGATAATAAATTAATTCTATTTTATTTCACTATTCAAGGTCTAGGGTAAATAAATGCCCAACGGTTCCTTTGAGGACTGATAATTAAGATAGCAATACTGATTGAACCAGCCATCACTGCTACTCTATACTAGATATTGACTCTGAACTGAGTCAATCCCAAGCTAGTGGCTAGTGTACTGGAGTTCTATCCCCAGAAAATGCCTAGACAAGCAAAAACATCACCAGCATGCCGGGTAGATGGAACTCGTTAACTTTGAATGGCAACTCAACTTGGAGAAGGAAAACTATGAAATCAAACCCGGAGATGGAGACCCGTAGACGTTATGACATTGACTCAATGAAAATTCTGACAAAATCCTATGACGTAGAAAGCATAAAGAGCATAGTGAAACACACACACACTCAATCTGGTAATCTACTGCATCCTGATCTATATCCAGTCGTCTTGACTAATCTTACCATTGAATCAAATAGGCAACGACGAGAGAGTGGCTCTGGCGAATTGAGCAACTCTCCCTAAATTTCAACAAAATACAGCTCACGTCAAGGCTACTGCTCCAGTCTTAGGGATCTTTATGTGTACAGGACAAAACAAAAATACTGTAAATATATGAAATATATTTGCAGGACAGTTCTCCGATGCCATGAAAATTAGGGGAAAATGATCAACAATGATAAACAACAATCATCTGAGTCTTCCTCTAGTTCAACTTCAGTTTTTTCACCTACCTCGGGTGTCCACTTTTGCAACTTCCTAGTCAAGCTCCTAGGTTATGTGTATCTTCGGAAATAAATATGACTTACTTGTGAATAAAATGGATTATCTTATAACTTTATTAGTTGTTTGTTATCCAACATCAAGTGCATCTTATTCTTATTAAAAACCAAGTTACTCAATTGTATGTGAACTCGGGGCCATAATATCTATACTGGTACATACCTAAATCAAATAATTGCTATAGCATTGGCAATCCTTAGAATATGTACCGGTACTATATAAGTGCATTTATGTCCTGTTACTACAAAAAAATTGTATAAGCGTATAGGGTCTCTCCGTTTTTTACTCTTTAAAAAATGTCCTGGAATTTTGTATTTTCTCCTGGAAAACTCCTGGAAAACTCCTGGAATTTGTTTTTAGATTTGGTGCAGGAACCCTGAATAACACAATTATCTATAAAAAAAAATAATATTCTAAAGTAAGCCAATTTACACTAATTCTATTTTTAGTTATGTGCAAAAATATGAAATAACTGATGGCCATGGCGTATATGAAATAACTGATGACGATTGCTAATTTTTGTATCTGGATTCATGCTATCTTTACAATTGAAAATGTCTGGATGTCTGCATAGGGTGCGCCTGCAAGTGTACTTACAACAACAAAGAAATTACTCAAACATATTGGCATCTTTTTGAAAGATGATGATGAGGATGAAGAAGAGGAAGAGGACAATGAAATAGAAAAAGAAGCAAATCAGCTGATGGGGAGGGGCAGAAGGACTACAATGGTGGAAAGCAGAACCAGGGTAAATTGTATTTTGTGTGATTTGAAAGGTTACTGTCTTTATTGTTAATTTGGGTCGTGGTTATGGAGCAACCTGACAATTCTGGGGTCCAATATGAGGACATTTATGTACAGCTATGGGATCCAATATAAAATATGTCCACTTATGGGGTCCAATATGAGGACATTTACGTACAGCTATGGTATCCAATATAAAATGACATTTATGTACAGTTAAGGGATCCTGTATAAATTATAAATGGACACATTTAACTTTTATGTACTTCTTTGGTTTGTTACCATTGAATATTGTTTTATGTTGATTGCCCTCATTGTTTAATAATTTATCCTCATAATCTTTCTGTTATATTGCTTTAATAATCATTTTAAACATGATCGTGTACGATGATAACTGTTTTTCAATACATGCATAATTTAGTCTCTGTTTGGTTACATTGCTCATGGATAATATAATTGTGAAATCATTTTATTGTCCTACATTAGAAGTTAAATTGTGTTTTAAAAGACTAGTGTAATCAGTCATATGTGTGTTTTTAACCCAGACTGAAGCACCATCTGAAGAGAAGAGACAGCAGCATCAGAAGGAGTTGGCCCAGAGATTAAACGAGGAGGCTAGGGAGAGACTCAGGGGAATTAAATCAGGAGGAGAAGACAAAAAGTCAGGGAATTGAATATATATTTGTAAAGAAGATTAATGAAAAAAAATTTGTTTAAATAAATCAATAAAGGTTAAGCCTTAATTATGGTTAGTAAAACACATTTATAATTAGTTAATTCATTTATGAATGTTCTTGGCAAAATGTAACACAGGACTAATTCATCAGTAATTTGACTCTTTAAATTTATAATTACAACCAAGCAAAGGGAAAAGAAATCTTCCTGTCTATCAAGTTGAAATTCACGTATAATACTACTGATTACAAATTTTATAAATGCTTCCAAAAGAAGTGTGAATGTCAAAATTTTGTATTCATAAGTACATTTTAAAAAATTTAATGTTATTTTATATATTTTGTTTTCAGGTCTAGAAAGTCCAACATTTCTTATAAAAACCCCAATAATTTCCCAGAAGAGGCAGAATGTAGAGATTTAAAATTGTTTGTAGGTCAGTAGGATTTTCTTGATTTGACTTCTGATACCTTTTTCTTCCTTTCCCGAAATGCTCGAAACGGAAGCTAAATTGAATAATGTAGAGTTAAAGATAACGGTCACTTGTAAATAAAATAATTGTTACCTGAATTCTGAAATTACAACACAGCAATATTAAAAGTATATAAATGTTGGCAAAATTAAGGTCATGAGTTCGTTACATGTAGACACAGAAACACACACTGGTTTTTCATAGGATTTTTTTTAAAGGAATAATTACACATAATTTTTTGCTTATTTCAGACAAGAAATATGAAACAATTGTTTTACCTATATTTGGGAATGCAACCCCCTTTCATATCTCCACAATCAAGGTTAGCAATTCTTATTGACTTACCATGAGATTACAAATTTGCTATCAAATTTGAACCAAAGAGTTTTATCTTGATAAATATATCATTTAGTTGTGATTTGTCATAGATGTCTTGGATATTTCTTAAGATCTAGTTAAAATAATTTATTATAATTTTATATTATTATGGTGAGGCATCATATATTTTCAGCCTCTTATCTTGATCATACTTTACATTTTCTTATTTCAAATAGAATATCAGCCAGTCTGTGGAAGGAGAGTACACATATTTGAGAATCAACTTTTTCCACCCAGGCTCCACACTAGGCAAAAATGAAGGAAATTTTCCTAACCCTGATATGACCTTCCTAAAGGAAATGTAGGCTTTAAGTTAAACATAAAAATAAGTAATGGTAGTTATTCTTTTATATATCTGTGAGCCAATCATTATTTTAAAAGGCTAAAATAAATGAAACACAATGCATAAATCTAAGACTCTGAAATATATCTCTAAAATTTTTCCCTCTTTTAAACAGCACATATCGCAGCTCTAACACCAAAGAGCCCGGTGAGATTTCTGCACCATCTTCAAACCTTAACACAGCTTTCCGCCTTATTAAAGAAGTGCAGAAAAAATTCAAAACACGAGAAGCTGAAGAAAGGGAGAAAGAGGTATTTTATGGAGCTTTTAATTTACCCATGATTTTCTGCTTTGGTTGATAAGCATTAGGACATTTTAAAAAATGATCATTTTAAAACCATAGAACATAGTTTCAATGTTAGACAGATTTACAGTAGATTGTTCTTTTAATGAAAAGCAGGTCCTGTGGCCTTTTGATGAGATGCAGATCCTCCCACTGAAATACAGCTTTAAATGTATAGAAAAATTGTTGAAGGTTTAGTTCTGTTTTCCCATTAGGGCATTGTGAAACAAGATACTCTGATCATCAACCCCAACAGAGGTAACCCCAAACTAAAAGATTTGTACATCCGACCCAACATCGTGTCAAAGAGAATTTCAGGAACATTGGAGGCTCACACAAACGGTTAGTTTTTATTTTCAATAGCAAGCTACGTTGTTGGTCGTAAATCATTCCTGTACATGTGTATTTTAAATTATTTCACGTGATATATTGTAATTAATATGACCAAAAGAATCTTTCTTTACTGTTTTGCCTTTTCTGAGATGGTTTTAGATTTGTGTTGTTGAAATCATCTGAATAGGTTTCCGCTTCACATCTGTGAGAGGAGACAAAGTTGACATCCTCTACAACAACATCAAACATGCCTTCTTTCAACCATGTGATGGAGAAATGATAATTCTGCTTCATTTTAACCTCAGAGTAAGCATTTCCCCCATAGACATGACAAACAATTGGATGACACCTCTTTTGAAGCTGTCATTTATTGTGACAGTTTTCGTGCAACCTGTAGTTCGGTGCTTGGTTTCTTTAAATTAATAAAATATTTTAAGCATTCTTTTAAATACATAATACTAGTTTTTTTTTTTTTTGGTTTCAACCCTAAATTCACTCTATATCCAAATCCACATTATAATGAAGCCATGTTATAAAATAATCATATTCATGAAACATCTTATAATAGAATTTGCAACAATGAGGGTCCAGTTAATATTTCTTTTTCTTTTTTTTCTCATTTTAAATTGTGCAATAAAATCTCAAAATCTCTTTCTATTCATCTTAGATTTTATTTAGTCTTCGTAAACTAGTTGTTTATAATAATTACTGTGGAAGAAAGAGAAAATATGAAAGTGTTTTATATTTATTAGTACTGTTATTTTCAATCACAACTCTAGAACGCGATATTGTTTGGTAAAAAGAAACACATCGATGTTCAGTTCTACACTGAGGTGGGAGAGATAACCACAGATTTGGGGAAACATCAGCACATGCATGACAGGGATGACCTCCATGCTGAACAAGTAAGTTTTCCATTTTCAAAGTATCAAATATGAATGACATATGTAATTAAAATATCAAAATATACATTAAGTCTAACATGAAAGATTCATTGAGGATGTTCAGGAATTGGCATTTCAGTCATTTATATTAGTCAAGGCCTATAAGATAGTCATTTAATACAGTGGTCTGCAAATCGCGGCTCTTTAGCGACCTGAGTGCGGCTCAGCCACAAATTTGTTTTTACTCCGAAAAACATGGTTCTTGAAAAGAAATTTAGTTCTCAACAAAATTTTGATCGTCCTGCTGATTTTTGGTTCTTTTGAGTTTCCCAACCACTGATTTAATATAATAATGTGGTAGCAAATTGAGATAATGTTATACTTATTTCTTTGACATGATCCTCTCAAGTATAATAGTCATTTTATGTTTTGTAATATGTCATTAGGCTGAGCGTGAATTGAGGCAAAAGTTGAAATCTGCATTCAAAAGCTTTTGTGAGAAGGTAGAAGGCATCACCAAACAGGAAGTAGAATTTGACTCCCCCTTCAGAGATCTGGGCTTTTATGGTGCACCATTCAGAAGCACAGTTTTGCTTCAGCCAACTAGTGGTTGTCTTGTTAATCTCACTGAATGGGTATGTCATTAGACTGTATCTTTACTGAATGGATTATATCATTAAGCTGTATCTTTTTTTTTAAAGCCATCTAAAAAATACCAAATTTCTGTTTTCAGCATTTGTCAGAAAAAAATGTTGAGAATCATGTGTGAAATGAGAGACTATTACCAAAATAAAACCATTTCTATACTAAAAAATTTTGTTGCAATGATTGTTTTATCTATCTGATAAGCCACACAACTCAAAATTAAATCTTGGATTTTACTGGTGTATTATTCAATTCTTGTCCTGGATTTCAATGATTCAACAAATTTTTCCCAAAGTTGTTAACCTATTATGTTATAGATAAACAACATATTTCAATCACTAATTGGTTATTATTATGATGCAAAATCTACCAATAATAATAAAAAAAACAAAAGCGACCTTTAGCAGTGCTTCTCAAATTTGGGAAATTATATGACAATGGCGATCACTTATGATTTTAACTAGTTTCTATTTTTTGTCATTATATCATTTGTCCTGTCTGCTGGGAAGGGTCTTAGCCGAAACGTTCTTATCTTATTGTCCTGTCTTTCAAAACAAGCTTCCACATACCTTGTTCTACTATTTCCTTCACACGGCTTAAACACAGTCCTTCATTTATTATCCTTATTCTCACATTTAGAGGGCTACTGACGTTTTAGACTTCATGTTAACCCTTTAATAAGGCAGCTCCCTTGTTTGGAGTCTCTAATGGTCAATGACCTAGTTCTCTTTTAATCAATTTACTGCATGTTAATCCTTTGATAAAACCAACAGAAAAAGTTTGTTTATCAATGCATCTCAAATTGTTTCTCTCAGCCTCCCTTTGTGGTTTCCCTTGAGGATATTGAGCTTGTCCACTTTGAGAGAGTGTCATTCCAGCTCAAGAATTTTGACATGGTTTTCATCTTCAAAGACTACAGTAAAAAGACAGCCATGATCAATTCCATAGCCATGAACATGCTGGACCATGTCAAGGAGTGGCTCAAGTAAGTGTTTAGTTTTTTTTAATCTCGCCAAGTGTATCACTATCTCCGGTCAGTGCCCATATTAAATTCGGACACGTTTACAACAAAATGCATAATACAGTTTGTTATCTTATATACTACAAACTTTGGCGTATTAGTGCAATGCTCACTGTCATATGAATGATGTTACGCACTGGCTTGTATTGGGAGAAATTAATCTCCTATTTTAATTTTAATTGGCTCGTTGTAACCAGTGCCTAACAAAGGACGATACCATAGAATCAACAATATTAAAGATACTACCCAAAACAGTTTCTAGTTACAATTAATACGATTTATTAAGTCTTAAGATAATTACAAAAGAAAATATAATTACAATCTTCAACTTACAGTATGGTAGATCTTCTACCGGTACACAGTTAACACAGTTAGAATAATGTGCCAATAAATAATGCGAAATAAACACATATGAGCACACAAATACACAAAGAATAAAACACGCCTCGTAAATTTAATAAAATCTATCTAAATCTCCGTCCCTTCGTATCTGTCAATCCTTTATATACATGTAGCGTAAGACGCTTCCAGAAGGACCTATGACGTGTTGTTTACATATCTCGGGTTAAGGATTACATTCGAGAAGATACCCGGAGACATTCTACCCAATGCATAATTGGAAGCCGATTGTAAACAAGATACATCAAAGAGATTTAACCACGCCCACAACAGACGTTACTGTCTGCTAGGAGTGTACTACGAGGTCGAGGAAAGTTCACACACAGGAAATTGTGCTACATAACAATGACATTAAGATTTTCTGCCCTTGCATTTTTTCCCACATCTTATAGTTCTTGTGACATTTGATACACTGAATCTGGCTGCTTTTAGTTTAATAGTATTTCAAATCTCCCTCTAGTTCTTGTGACATTCGATACACTGAAGGTGTCCAGAGTTTAAACTGGGCAAAAATCATGAAAACCATCACTGATGACCCTGAGGGATTTTTTGATAATGGCGGCTGGACTTTCCTTGATCCAGACAGTGAGGTAAAAAAAAATTGGTTTGTTTCATATGATTTTAATGAATGTGAAGAACATTTTAAAATAATTTTTTTTATTATTTAAGGAAAGAACTTCATAAAAGCATGTGTCAAGGTGATTCAGTTATCCTAATAATGGTGGCACTTTATATTAGCTATTGGAGAGATAAAAAATAAAGCAACTGAAAAATTACAGTTGTTAATAAAAAATGTTATTTTGAAATGCTCATCCTCAAATACTTGGAGGATGTTGATTGGATAGCTATCGCTAATGTACAACTATTACACTGAGCGGTGTAATGTTTGGCAAGCAAGGATAAACTCTTTTTCTAACTTGTATAATTGTTTGATTGGCTTGATGCTTTTCTCTTGGTTTTTGGGGATCTTCAACAAAATCAAGCCATAATTACCTTATCTGGCTACAACATAAACTTATTCAACTCAGCGCAACATATTTGCTATTTTTTGAGAAATAGTATAAAAGGGATTATTTTGAGAATATTATGTACTAAATCTATCCTCTGGACCAATTGTGACAGTTGATTAAGCAGTTGAATAGAAAAATATGGATCATCATCTGATATTTATTTCATTTAAATAGATTTTTTCATGTAGCTTTTTTTAAAGTTCAGATCCTAAACATTTAAGTGTTAAAGTGTTACCTTTATGACATGACTATCTTTGCTTTTATTTCAAAACTATTTTGATGATGATTCCTCCAAGACATGTACCTTTTCTGGATCACAAAATTTCATTTTGTAGTGTAGTTCCAGATATTTGAGTTTCTACAGAATTTACATTGCAGTGCCACAAGTCTAAGCAAAAAAAATTCCTTATCTCAACTGCTTGTCCTGTTAGAGGTCTGACACATTTGCGACTGTTCACATCGTACGCCCATTATTGCAATGGTTCCCCCCTAATGTGTCACAAGACCAGTTTTTTTTCTAATTAATAAAAAAGTAAATATTTCCTTATTCTTAATAACAAGAGTATTTATTTATGTTATAGTTGTCTTCATCTATATCTATTACTTCACTAAACTTAAAATGGCATGTTGTTGTATTTTAAAACTTTTTTTTACCACATTTAAATATTGATTGTATATATTGTTTGATGTTTTAATTATGTATGTAGATTTCAGATGTTTTTTGCCCTGCGTTGCTAATAACTTATTTTGGTTTCTTTTTTTTTTCCATTCTTCTGTTTTTGTGATTTTATAGGGCGATGTAAGTAAACACCTGCTCATTTTACTTTTCACTTCTGGTCTCGGTAGAAGTGGGCTTGAAACTGTAACCTTATATATTTCTTTAGAGACTGCTGTTTCTTTGATTAAATTCATTTATTGTCACTATAACTTTATGTACCAGCACCAAAGTAAAACTTCTATGTATGGGTTTTATTGAATAGTTTTGATATTTTATATAAAACAAATGGAATTCTTCTGAAACATCTGGAAAATTTGCTAAATGTATCAGGGTGTACATCAGTAAACCTCATCAGCACTTGGAGAAAATGGGAACTCAATTTTTTCTTATTTGCTTTGCACATAATCCATAGTTTAGTTTAAATTTACACGGCTACAATATTATATTTGAGTAATAGAATTATGTTTAAAGTTTAAAACATAAGAGTCAACATAGTTCTGGTTAGTTTAAACAGCAGAGGTTTATACAAAGTGCCTCAAGTTATTTATTTCACATTTTATCTTTGGCCCAAGGTAAAAGGTATAATTATTCAGATTTTTTTTTTTAATACCATAATAGTTACACAAATAATCTGTCACTTATCAGAAAAATATATTAAGTAAAAATATGGATGGGGATATCTTCCCTTTCATCACAATCACTACCCATGTGCAAAGGCGCTTAAACACCCCACTCTCCAAGTAAATGTGTTAAAATTTAATGGTGGCATTCATGTGCATTTGTTGAGACTCTCCCCACCTCTCCTTACACACCTTTTAGCACAATCTCCTCAATGTGTACATAATATATGAATGGCCCCTTACATTTGTATTTAATTTATATTTAGTAACGGGGATTTAAGTGCTATCCAGAAAGGATTTTTTTTATATTGTCAACATAAAACAGAAATTTAAGGATAGATGGCAATGGCATTATTATTAATTTTAAGCATAGATGGTAATGGCATTATTATTATTATTAGATGTAAGCATAGATGGTAATGGCATTATTATTACTGTTAATGCATTTATTCACGTTTCCAAGACTTGGGTCAGTTGAATTGTTAGCTGCTGTATCAAATCCAATAAACCATAATGGTAAAGTTTGTCAAACATTTCATTTCCATTGTTCACAATTAATTATAGCTTTGTCTCTGATGAAATATTGCATACCAAGTTTTGGAAACCTGCTTTCAGACATCATATTGCTTGGGTTTTTTTTGTGAGAAAGATTACATTTATAAAATTGTTTACAAACACAACTGTAAATTGACTCATCATTGTAAATGATGGGCCCGTGTCAGCTTAAAATGTTAAGTTTATCTGATCTACCTTAAAAATAGTTTTAGAAAAGTACTGACTAGTTTGCGTGGATGGTGGGGGGGGGGGTTGGGTGGATGGTGGGTGGGGGGGGGTCTAATTGACTATCTGCTACACATTCTATCAAATACAGTCACTGAAAGCTTGGTTGAAATTTTAAGCACTTCTAACAGTGAATTTAACATTTCCCCATTGGTCCAAGGGATCTTTTGTGCTAATGATTTATATTTTTAAACGGGGCTGTAAAATTTAGTTAGGAGACCATTATTTCATACAATGTATGCTTATTGGCTTGAGGGCTGGCTTCCTTAACATAACATTCATTAGCCCAAACATTTGCAGTGTTGTGTTAACTTTATTTTTTTTCCCTTGATTTTCAAATTCTTTCTGTCTTTTAAAATTTTCTTTGACATTTCCTATTCAATTTTATGTCCCGTTTAAAAAATCAGTAGCTTTCCTTTTCCTCTCACATCTCAAAAAAAAAAATTTTTAAAATATGCTAACAGCCAAGCAACATATTTCCTTTTTTATTTTGTTTGCTTGTATGCAAATGAAACATGTATAGATATATAGAGAGAGCTATATAGCAAAACAACTTGTTATTGTTGATGGACTGGTGAGCAAAGTATCACAAATTTAGGTTCTGAAGAAATTTAAAAAACAAAAATTATCTCTCTTTTTTTGTTAATTGAACTCTCCTAACCTGACACAGATTGTTGCACTGACTTGATAGCACCGACTATCTCCATATTATTTCTGTAAAAAAAAAAATTTAGAAACTTGTTGAGTAAACAATTAAATATGAAGACTGTGTCCATCATACTCTATAACTTCTACTCACATCTACTATCAATTATGTTTAAAAAATCTTGCAGCGCTCTAAGCCTTCCTTTTTGCTTTCCAAAATGCTAGATTTTCAGAAACTATTCTGAATTTTTGTCTAATTATTCTATCCTCACATATTGTTCCTATTTTAAACAAGTCAATCCACTGACCCTCGTTAGGAATATATATATATTTTTTAAGTACCTGGTAAATATAAATATTGTTTTTCTCCTGTGAAATTCAGGAAGAGCAAGAGGAAGAAGACAGTGAAGAAGAAGATGACACATTCCAACCATCTGAAGATGGATCAGACTTTGACGAAAGCAGTGAAGATGACAGTGAGGAGAGTAATTGGGAGGAAGAGGAAGATGATGAATCAGGTATGTCACTTTTGAGAGTAATTGGAAGGAAGAGGAAGATGATGAATCAGATATGTCATGAGAGTAATTGGAAGAGGAAGATGATGAATCAGGTAAGTCACTTTTGAGAGTAATTGGAAGGAAGATGATGAATCAGGTAAGTCACTTTTGAGAGTAATTGGAAGGAAGATGATGAATCAGGTAAGTCACTTTTGAAAAAAATGAGAGAGAAAAAATTTTTAATTATTTTTTTTAACAGAGTTGAAAATGTTCTCGTCTCAAGTTTTATCCTTTTGTCAGGATGTGTCTTTCATTGTCTCTGGTTTCAATGCCTTTATAAGACTTTAAAGATAAAGCAAATAGACAACAGCTTAAAATTTCAAATTACTACTTTGTTGAAATGAGAAATTGTATTTGGGGAAAGGGGTGGGGGTGTTTTAAATATGAAAACTTCATTTTTTATATACTTTTAAACGATTTCACTGACTTATTGGTTAATAGGGATACGAAAGCCATTAGATACATAAAATCTAGACATGACTGATGCTCGCAGGTAGCCTCTTTGTAAGATTTTTTAGTTGTATTGTGTTTTTTTCTCAGCTTCTGATGATGACTTAGGCTCCAGTGAAGAGAGTGGCAAAGACTGGGACGAGCTAGAAGAAGAAGCCAGAAGAGGTAAAATTACAATTCTACCCCCTAGTATAAAATTTATTTTGTGTAAAATGTAAAACAAATTGCAAAATTGAACAGATAAAATATAATGCAAGAAATAGGTGTTATTATTTTTTTTATTTTTGTACAACTTAAATCATTGAACCCGTTGATTTCTTCCTGAAACATTTCAACCAATTGAATTACATTTTCTACTCAGCGGACAAAGAGAAAGATGAAGAAATCCCAGAAGTAAGACCATCCCATAAACACAGACCCCATCAAAAAGGGGGAGCGCATGCTCAGAAGAGAAGCAGAGGCAGCAGCAGCCATAGCAAGAGCAGCTCCCCTCAGAAGAAGAAAGCACGCCGCTAAAAAAAAAAAATACATAAATTTTTTTGTCATTTTTGTTTATCGGATGCTTGATTACTTGTGTTAAAAGAATTATGTGAGAATTTCATAGGCAATATATGTAATCATTGTTTTGTTGGATGCCAATTATTAAGAGAATTTGATTGCTCATGTTTCTTGTATATTACTTACAGATTATATTTTGTAAAAAAAAAAATAATTAAAAATTACCAGAATGTTTGCCAACAATTATTCACTCTTATATAGTGTTATTGGTATTGCAAGAACAAACTTTCACAATAAAATCATCCTTATTTAAGTACGTTCATACAGATGAGTCTTGTTCAGGATTAATATATCACCTTTTATTGTTCATTTGTTACAAAAAGTGAAAGGTGTGTAAGACATTTTTAAAATGGGGCTGCTGGCCATCTAAATCATTGAAGTTAATCTGGGGTATGAATAATTTGTACTTTTGTTATATTGAAATGTTCTCATTAATGTAAATAAATATATGTATGGTTAAACAGTCTTGCTTGCTTGATTTTTAGTGGGGGTTTTTGTGTTTGTTTTACCAATTGACATGTCTGGGGAAACTTTCCTTTACATCAGATTATTGAAATAAAAGATCAAATCCCACCAAGGTCAACTTAAAAGTGTTAAAAGTTCAGTCTTTTTCTTCTTCTATATTTTGAGGGCCCATGATCATTGTATTGATATCATGGCTCAAGTCATGCAAGCTACTGTAAATTAAGTTCACTTTACTAATGCACTGAGTTCAACAAGGAAGAAATCCTCAATTATATACCAGTTATGAAATTAATAAAAGGACATCTTGCTTTGTTTCATGGTTTCCTCCACTTTTATTTGTAACCTTGGGCTATGTAAAGTGCCGCAGATTAAGCTGAGGACTAACAACTGAGATGGCTTTTTTTTTCTTGCTTGAATGTGCTTCATTAATGATCAAGTAGTGGAGAAATACAAAATCTAGTTACAATTACACTACACAATCTAATTAACACACCACACTGAATAACATCTAATACAGCTATAAAACTGTTGCTAGACAAATCATCATGTGCAAGAAGCCAAGCCTTTTCATAGTAAATATTTCAAGTCTCAAGCTAACCAGCGTAAATTGGGTGAAACTCTAGGTTATTATTTTTTTAAAGTTAAAGGTAACGTAAAAGCAGCTGTCTGCCCAAAAATCTCATTATCAAATAGAATATTTGAGTAGTCTTCATTAACTGGCAACTGATGAAAACATTCATAGAAACTCTGTATTATGTTTTGATGCACTAGGTGGCTGATAAAATCAACACTTGTGGCTTATCTTCAACATTTTGCATTGTTTTAAAAATGTATTATTAATTATGCCATAATGGGATCAATGATGATATTCCCGGGTATATCTGAAGTACACCACACATTTACTTTCCTTCAAAACTGGTAGTGACTATTTTTATATTCTTTCAGCAGTTTGGGTGTGAGATGTGTTGTGGGAACATTGGTAGGATCTTTCCATGGGAATAATATGTACATCCATCCTTACAAGAGGTCCCTACCGATTGGCTTATTTGAAGTTTTCATGTGTGGGCAGCTTACAAAATGCACTCACCTCATACAAATATAATTTTCAAGATAAAAGTTTGATATATAACCAGACCTGTCAACTCTTATGATTTTGTTGTACAATGTACGATTTTGAGGTGTATACATTATATATACTGTATGTATATTTTTTTTACTATTAAGATCATTTATTGAATAAAATATTCATTTTATGATTTTAAGGGTAAACAGGTCTGTATAAGTAACAGAATTTTAGATGTTTAATTTAATTTCTTGCTGCCGTTTGATTATCACATCATGTCTGCTGAGAATCAAGAAATGATTAACTCAAGACTCTATTTGTTTACCAATTTCCATCTGTGATATCTCTAGATATGTGACTGCCCTGGGTCACTACTTTCTTTTGCCATGTAAATATATCGTCTCCAATCATCTCCAGCAAGGTAGAATTCAAGAGTAAACAAAAATATCATTTTCAACAAATGTTTAATTTAAAGGCAGTTCTTATACATATTTTCATCAATGCTTTACAAATTTTTAAATATAATTAAATTAAAAGAAATATTCAATACTTTCATTTCAAACAAATCTCTATGAACCAAAAACAATCCCCATTGACACTAATTTTTTTAAAAAATGTTACTTTTTAATAACATGTATTATTCAACATAATTCATATTTTCTGTGGGCTTGGTTGGTCCTAATAATCATGAACAAAATTATTTCAAGGAAACATTGTTATAGCATTTTCTTTATCCCTCATCCTTCATACTGTATTTAAGAAGCTATAATGGTGTTGCCTGGCACTGGAGGGAAGGGCAAACTGTACATAGTGTACAAAAAAAGTGTAAATATTTTCACATATCATCCCCACTTACTGCATCCAAGCTTTTATATACTTCGAACTACACGACTTTTTGTTGTCCTGAAGATCAGTAATATTTGTATCAAGAAAAATTATTTGTGGGATTACTACTTAAAAAGGAAACTAACCCTTCTTCACTGGTAAATTCGCCAACAGACATTTTAATAATAATAAATACTGGTATATTTGCCGTTCCAAATTAGTCACATGAAGAAAACATTCACTGAAGTTATTTTCACACAGAGGATTTGTTGCAGGCACATATCTTAGGCACAATTATATTGAATAATAAATTACCAGCAGACATAAATTAATTTTAAAAAATTATATTATCTGTTAAACCCTATTCCACAATATATAAGTTAATATTTTAATCAATTATAAGATTTTTTTATATCTTACGTTAACGTAACATTTAATTAAAATAAAATTGTCTTTTGACACTTTCAGCAAATTAAAAACAATACATTCATTCTTAAATATTTTTTTTAATGGGTTATAATTATTTAAAATTATTGGAATACCAAACAAATCCTGTCAACTGATCCAAACTCACTTCAAAGCTGCACATAATCAAGGACATGCTGGATCCTTGAAAAATGTCTAATTCTGACCAAAGCCTAGTGGCTAGGAACATATCCCAGAAAATTAGCATTTGTGCCAAACTGGTACAGGCCCATGTCCGAGCAACAAATCCCTTAAGTGTGAACTGCCTTTAATTTTGTTTGTAATTTTGTTATCTTCACGCAGTCAAAGCATGAGGGAAATTACGAAATGGTAGTGTAACAAAATTAACATGTCATCAGGAGGCTCAGCCACACAAAAAAGTTACATTTGTTTTTTTTCTTACAAATATGACAGCAATGTGTCCAGATGTCATGAATGACATAATTTGTAAGTACTTAAGCAATGTACAGACCCCTGCCAGGACACCCAACATCTCTTAATCTTACTCATACTATGCCCTCAGTCATTAGTAGACACTTTCACCAAAAAAATTTAATAATTTTAAAGAATTCATCAAGTTTAACCTATACCAGATACATTTGGAAAATGGTAGTTTTTTCTTACAAACATTTGTACATGTGAAATGGAAAAGGGCACATCTTACAAATTACAGTTTAAAAAAAAAACTTTCAGCATGTAAAACATATTTTGAATCCTGTAAACCTGGTGTTTTGATCTGCTCATCACTTTTTACACAATGTGTACAGCTGTACAATATACAAAAAATGGGTTCCAGGTGAATTCATTACATGCATAATTTGAAAAATGGTGGAGGCATATTACAGATTTATAAATACAAAATAATACATTTAACTTGTGTTCACAAAAGATTGTTTAAATGTCATTTCAATAGCTGCAAGTGAGATAATTTCAAATTAAATTTAACTTTTTATCTAAACTAAACATCATGGCCAAGCAAATCTGAATCGAAAACCATATTGTCAAATTTCACATAGCAGCTATTCCAATAGATTTAGGTTACTTTGTAATGTATCTACAAGAAAAGAAACATGATCAGATCTCAAAGTGTTAAAATGTAAAATCAAAGCAGATCTTATCAAGAAACATTTCAAAATATAGTAAAAATCACTCTGTTTTTTTTGTTGCTTTTAGATCATTTCAGTATTAAATTATCAAATTAAATTGCATTCCAGAATAATAACATGACAAATGTCTTTAAATTATTCGCGACCATTGTGTGTGCAATGCACAGTTCTGCAAAATAGTTATCGATCAACAAACATTTAGCTAATCCATTTAATTCTAAGTTGTGGAAACTAAACTTCTTTGTAGAATTAGAAAGCTATAAATAACAATATTTTTAAGAACCACTTATGTCGCTAAATGAACGCATATTAACTTTGTACACACAAAAAGAGCTATGGTTGTGAGTTATTAAAACTTGATTGTGCTTGGTGCATCCTTGTATTGGATAATCCAGGGGTGCTTCAATACTTCCTCCAGTGGGAGACGAGCTTTTGGATCATGACGCAATAACTGCAAGAAATTTTTTTAAATTAGAGAATGAAAATGTGATTTTGATCTGTGTAGATATATTATAATGTTCTCCATTACTAGATATTTACCAACAACCTTCACTTTCATACACATTCACTGCTGCTAGCTATGTATAGACAACGTTCTCCACTACTAGATATTTACCAACAACCTTCACTTTCATACACATTCACTGCTGCTAGCTATGTATAGACAACGTTCTCCACTACTAGATATTTACCAACAACCTTCACTTTCATACACATTCACTGCTGCTAGCTATGTATAGACAACGTTCTCCACTACTAGATATTTACCAACAACCTTCACTTTCATACACATTCACTGCTGCTAGCTATGTATAGACAACGTTCTCCACTACTAGATATTTACCAACAACCTTCACTTTCATACACATTCACTGCTGCTAGCTACTAGCTGCTGATATAAAATATCCACACATCTGTAACATGAACAGGAGCCCAGAGAAGCTGCTGATATAAAATATCCACACATCTGTAACATGAACAGGAGCCCAGAGAAGCTACTGATATAAAATATCCACACATCTGTAACATGAACAGGAGCCCAGAGAAGCTGCTGATATAAAATATCCACACATCTTTAACATGAACAGGAGCCCAGAGAAGCTGCTGATATAAAATATCCACACATCTGTAACATGAACAGGAGCCCAGAGAAGCTGCTGATTGAGTATACATCGCTACACACCTTTGAAATTAGATCCCTGGCACCTTCTGATACAAAATCTGGAAACCTCAGGTCAACCTTGCAAATCCTCTTGTATGTGTTAGAGTGGCCTTCAGCTTCAAATGGTGGCTTGCCAACAAGAAATTCATAACAAAGCACTCCAAGACTCCATAGATCTACACATTCATTGTGGAATTTCCCCTCAACCATCTCAGGCGGCAAATAGTCCAATGTTCCACACATAGTATGGCGCCTAAAAGTAAATTTTAAGAAGAAAAAAAAAAGGTAATTTATTGTGTTTAACCATCTCACAAAAGTTAAAATGCTCACCAGCATTTATTATTCTTGTAAGCATAGTTTAAACAAATGGAATACAGACTCAAAACTTTCAATGAGCTATTCATTTTTATTACAAATGATCCTAACTGGAACTTAATGCAGCTATATTAAAAAGGACCCACTGACCTAAATGAACATAATAAAAAAGCTAAAACTGCATCAAAACTTTACCTTGATGAAGGGGCATGAACAGACCAACCAAAGTCAGCAATTTTAAGGTCCCCTTTCATTCCAAGAAGCAGATTTTCTGGTTTAATGTCCCTATGGATAACTTTCTTGCTGTGGCAGTAGATAAGTGCATCCGCCAACTGAGCAATATACTGGTAAACAAAGATAAGTGTTTTAAAACTTGGCCAGCAGTATCAGGAGCTGCAGGTTGATTTGTAACAACTTGACTAAAATTTAGCAACTTAATACTGGTCACAAAGCTCTGTAAATATTCCCTTTTCCTTTCTAACAGGGTGATAGTTTTTTTCTCTTGTATAAACAGAAGCATATCTAGACTGCAAGAATGAATCACATTGTATTTACCTTGGCAGATCTGGCATCATCAAATCGTGTGTTTTTCTGAAGCTCTTTATACAATTCCCCTTTAGGAGCATACTCCAAGATTAAGTATATCCTTGTGTCATCATAAAAATATCCAAACAGTTTAAGAATATGGGGATGCCTGAAATAGTAAATTATTTATAAATTCCTTCAAAACTAATGGAAATATCACATATCAATTTTAAACCTCATTGAAAAATTAATTTAATAACATGGCTTTTAAAAGCAGAATAAAACTGAACTAGTCTATTACCAACAAATTCTCATTACTGACTAGTGTTGAGGGTTCTTATTGCTAAATACAGCTGAACCCGCTTATCTCGACCTCGGTTAACTTGCCAACCCTGTTATGTTGACATTTTTTAAGTGGAACCGCCAAATTCTATCTTTGTCTTAGCATTTTCTCCTCGGTTATTTCGATTCTTTTATGTCGCTGAACCCTGATATCTCGAGCACAAAAGGCGGCCACATTTGCCACTTAACCTCGGTTATCTTGATCCCCATGACCTCCGCAAGAAAAAAGAGCAAACAACAAATAAACAAGATTTTTATAATTAAAAATAATTATTTATTTCTCAAAATTAAGGACTTGTGTTATAGAATGAACCTAGAAGTAATTTAAATAAATATGTTTTAATTCGAGGCTTAAAAACCCGGTAGAGTCCATATTATAAATGATCATTATTTGCTGTGTGCAAAACAAGTTATGGGCAGCCATTCACGGTCACTTACATAATGGCTATGCCGTGGTGCTACGTCAGAGTTTCATTCATAAGAGTTTGCTGTGTGCAAAAGCTATTGAACTACTGGTCAGGGAAAGCTTTAATTAAATAGTCATGTGCCAAAGTTGAAAATAAGTAGTCCCTAAATAGTATTTTAGTAATAAGGGCATGTGTTGCCTTATATAAACTACATAGTCATTGCACAAGACACGATCAGCAGAATGAGGTCACAATATGTTACGGCTTCATCCATAGTAAAAAAAATTTTTAAAATACCAAACGAACTCGCACTTTAAAAATTTGTAGCCCAAAAAGTATGTGAGTTAAAAAGTTGATTCTGGTTTCATTTTTTAATAATAACTGTAATATTAAAAAAATTATTTTCTTTTTTTACTGAAGTACCTGCATTTATTAACGCACATCATGTACATAAAGAAATTTAAAGCACATGTTAATATATTGTCACCATATTGATTTTCGGTTATCTCGATCATCGGTTATTGACGTATTTTGGTAAACCAAGCCCCAAGGCCGTCAAAGAAGGTTCTGCTGTACTAATTATACAATAAAACAAAAAAGTTTATCAAACCTGAGATGAGTTTGTATTTCAATTTCTCTCCTGAGCTGGTGTTCTACACCAGCTTTTTGTAGCTGTGATTTGAACATTAACTGGAAAAATAATAAAAACTACATCACTCCATCCAAAAATCTGATATTTTTCATAGAGATTAAACATGACATAATTCAATTGACATTGAATGATTAATAGAAAGAAACAAGGTTGATAAGACAGAATAATAACTTGTCATTACCTTCAGTGCAACAATATATTTACTCTTTTTCTCTCTGGCCATGTACACATTCCCAAACTTTCCTTTGCCAAGGGGCCGCCCAATATCAAAATCACTGAGAGACCATTTTCTGTGTAACACAGCAATGTTTCATTAATGCAGACAAATCATCTCATCTTTTAGTCTAAATTTGATATAAAGGTCAACTGTTAAATATTTATATAAATTATCTGGGTCATCACTCAAAAAAAAAATGAGGTTTTTTTCCTGACATCCATCCGTCACAATGTGACAATGAGGATAGGGTAGAATTCGCAGGATGAAATCAGTCTAGTAAAATTTAAATTAATAAGCAAGGTATGCATAATATGCTATTCCATCACACGATACCTCTACATTATCTTATGCCTGGTAAAATTTGATCAGCAATTATAATATAGTATTAATTATCAACTAGGTCTAGATTAGGACTAAGATTCAACTACATCAACTTACATCATTCCTTTAGAAGTGTCCATCTGTTCATCATCTTTAACTGTTCCTGACTGTTCATCATTTTTAGCTATTATTTTGTCACCTTTAGCAGAAGAATAATTTTCTTTTTCCAAAGGTACCCTAGCAGGAAGTTTAGTAGTTATGGAATATGTTCCATCTGTACTTAAGCCTGTTGGTAAATTTGGCTTCAGAACTCTGCTAGCTGTTTCCATTTGCATAGAGATCTTTTAAACCTAGTTTATTAAAAGTGTCCAAAAAAATAATGTTCTATTAGTCTATTAACTAATTAAATTATTATTTCAACTTCATGTCAACTGAGTAAGTCAGTGAATAATGGGTTGCTGGATAAATATGCATTGGGACCCAATGGGGAGAGCTGTTTTGGAAGTGTTCAATCGTGTGCTTTATCTTATTCTTGCTAAACTCAACATTACAATCCAAAGCAGGACATGGATAGGTACTAAAATGCATCTTATAATATAAACAAATACACAATACACCATATTATTCAATTATCATCAAATCCATCACAAATTGAATTAATATTGTCATGTATTTTAAATGGAATATGACAGTCATTTTTTTTAAAATTAAAATTTCTCAAATTTTACATTAAAATTAGGCTACATCATAAACAATGCTGTTTAGTAAAGTAAATAACTATTGTTAGCATCATTTATTTACCAACTAAGTCTTAAAACCAGACTGGTTGTACCCCATTTTTAAAATTGAAATTTAATAGTTAATAATAGGCCTACTAGTCTTCTAATTGCTAACACTATGCCTGATGTATTTAAAATAAAATACCAAGATAATAATGTCATGATGCGACATGGTTGTATTTACCACTGGCTGTCATCTGAAAGTTGACATTTTCTTTCATAATCATAAAAATAATTTTAGCCTAATATCTTTTAAATTTAAATATGGAACTATGGCAGACTATGGCTGGTCATCATTCTGGGGAACCTACATGACCTATACTATATTATTATGTACTGTGAAAAATATTACCAGCCGTCTACTATCTATTTAGGTTAAAGATTGAATTAATGTAATTAATATTATAATTAGGTATTATAGGTATTTTATTATTATTATAGGCCTACGCCGTAAGTTGATTCTTTATACACACAAAAATACTAAGGGACCATCCTTAAATGACAACATGCGTCTAGGGGGTCACATTTTTGTGACGATGTCTCATGATGTGTGATGAGGGGGAGGGTGGGGACTTAAGCAATATTCAGTCACATGAAAAGCGGAATATTATAGTAAATAAAATAACCCTAAAATACAGACATTTTTTAACTTTATCCTTTTATACAACAATTAAAAATAATTTATTTTTCAACTATGATCACACTGAGAGAATCAGTCCAGGTATGCGCAGTCCGAAAAATGGCCTGTGATCAATGTTAAAGTGTTTCACCCAAAAAACGTCAGTCTTTTAGACATTAAAATATGGTTAGGGTTTGTATTTGTATGTAAAGGACAGAAGTGAACACAGGGAATTTTTATAGGGGGGTGAAGAGATTTGTGACGTTATATTTGAGGGGGTTCTAACTTTTTGTGACGAAGGCCGAAGGTGGAGGGTAAAAAATCTGCATAATTTGAGTGACATAATTAATGGATGGCCCCTAATACGATGAATAAAATAGGCTTAATAAGTTTAGCCTGCAATCCACATTAAAGTCTACAGTTTTACAAATACTTAGGACTTAGGGCCTACTATATGTCCACAGTACTCATTACTATTACAGACAACTTTTCATAATTTTTAAGTCTAACTTGACTTAACCGAAGGGTAAAGGTGCAGTTCAGGTGCGTATATTATTTCTGTTTGAATCTCTTATTTTCCCGTGTAAACTTTTGTTAATTCTTTATAAAAAGTATTTTAAAAGTTATATAAAAAGATTTTTTATTGGAATACAACAACAATTTAACAAATTTTACGAGATTAAAAAAGTACATTTTTATGAATCTTTCGTGTTTTACGGAGCCGTTGTGGTAAATCAAGGATAACTCTTCTGTCTTTAAAGATACTTTATAAAAGTTGCCCAATTGGATGAATCTAGTTAAAATAAATGATGTATTTATTTTATAACTTTACTATCAACTATAACCGGAGCTGCCCGGGGCTGCATTCAGAAAAAAACATCTGCTACGTCCTTTTAGTTCACATTGGTATTAAACGAAATGTCAACAACAAAACTATAGTAAAAAAAATAAATAATTAATTTGTCTCCTATAAAAAACACGTCTTATGTAAACCTTTCGTTTTTCCCTTTTTCCGATGGCACCCGGAAGGATCATGATGGGATCCCGAACCCGATGTGATTCCGATAGAATCCTAGGTGATATGCAGATCCCGGTAATTATAGTGAGCTCACATACTTGACATACGAACCCAGCTTACAAGCCACATTGCAATTGTTACGAGCGCCTTAGGAGTAATTCCAGTTGTATTAACGTTATTTGTTGCCCCACAAGGTGCGCGTATAAACCAAATGCTGCACCATTAAAAATGCCCGTTGCATCAACAATTTTAGTTATTGTTTCTTGGTCGTCCTGCCATTTTAAACAAAATGATCCTACAACCAGCAATACCGCCAAGCCAAAACGAGTCCGTCGTACAATATAAAAAAATAATCACTAGCCCTCACTTTACTCAGCGCAAATCAGTCACCATTAATAAGCGCATTTGCATACGAAAAAAGAGGAGGGGTACTCAAATTAGAGCTGACCAATCATGGACAGCGTATTAGCAGCCTTCAAGATGAGATGACTATCAAAATGACCCCCACGCTATCATTCCGATTTCCCCCATTACTGCAAATATTTTTTTTTTTTAAAGTGGACACGTGATCACACATTTGCAAGTATTCATGCACCCCACCCCACCCTCTTTCTTTTTTCAGCTTCACACCAGGTCCAGGACAATGATGACGTGTGTGTCCACTGCCTTAGTCAGTGATTCCACTTCTAATCTCCCCCCCCACCCTACTTCAAAGGACAACCCCTATATTCCGAGCGCTCTGAGAGGGAAAAAAAAAGTTGGTGGGGGGGGGGGGGCGCTTGAGCTATCATTCCGATTTCCCCCATTTCTGCAATGTCTCAAATATTTTTTTTTTAAAGTGGACACGTGATCACACATTTGCACGTATTCGTGCACCCCCCCCCCCTTTCTTTTTTCAGCTTCACACCAGGTCCGGGACAATGATGACGTGTGTGTCCACTGCCTTAGTCAGTGATTCCACTTCTAATCTCCCCCCCCCCTACTTCAAAGGACAACCCCTATATTCCGAGCGCTCTGAGAGGAAAAAAAAAAAGAAAGTTGGGGGGAGGTGGGGCTTGTGCGTAATTAAAAATCTAGTATTTCATTCTTTTTTGTGAACATGTTTACAGTTTGAAAATTTCGTTTAGCATACTAACTTATAGTTAGAGGTGGCTAAAAATCTGGCATAGAGTGAAATGAAAAATACAAACAAATGGGGCTGTGTCACTTTGGTTGGGGGATGGTTAAAGACTCTTTAGAAGTAAAATAAAAAGAAAAGATGTGATATATAATTCAGAATTAGTTAACTCTAACTGCCTGTATTTAATTATTAAAGAATACACTTAAGTTTACATGATACAATTTTTTAAAAATACGAAATGCGTTAGAAATAATATACGCACCTGAACTGCACTTTTACCACCGAAGCTAGTAGCCTACTTTTCAGACTACACCAGGATATTGACAGTGACTACTAGGCGTGGCTAAGTTTATTTATATTTAATTTACAAGGGGAATTATGATATTAATACTATTACATTCTTAAATCACTCTAGGCGTGGCTCCTAATTTTATTTATATTTAATTTTTTAATTTACAAGCAGAAATAATGATTATGATTATGACAATGATGTTAAAATATATATTTTTAGCATGGCCATGGCTTTGCATATTCTACTAACATTAATAATATTCAAGGCGCAAACGATAAAAATTAAATTTAGGGTGATTTACACAACAGTGAATTGATCAAAAATTTAAAAATCAACTCAAATTATATTTATATTATATAATTTAAATACAGTAGAGAAATGAAAATAGTTTTATCAGGCCTGTTCCATTAAGATTAATTTAAGTTACCAGCAATAGAATCTGTAGATTTTAATGAATAAATTTAAACTTACCTATTGTTTCTAAATGGTTAGTAAAAATTTATTTTAAAAAAGCTAATTCGAACCTTTTTTTTTAATTCGGAAAATACTCAAGAAGTGATCAGCGACAAAAATTTGTGGCGGTGGTGAACTCGAACCTCAACAAACGTAAATTAACGATTTCATTGGTTGGTTTTATCAAGGGAAGTAGCTCTTAAATACTACAAACATTATTTAAAGTCACTTTAATGGCAATGTTATATTTATAAATAAAGTGAATTTATTAAACTAAAAACATGCTAATATCAAAATGATTTTTTTTAATTTTTATTATAAACATAAATTTGCATTATTTCAAAGAATAAAATAACTAAAAACAATAAAATTATTTTGTTTCGTTCTGCGTTAACTCTAAATACCAAAACCAACTTCAATTAATGTCGTGGTAACGGGGTAACGCATTTTTGAAATATCTCATACCTACCTTTACCTCATCCTTACCATTTTTTAACTATCGTAGCTTCTTATAATGTTACATTTGATAAATTGTTTAATGTTGCTTCATAACCTCAGTCATTTCTATGAAGTTTCTTAAGTTTTTTTCTTAAAATTAAGTCCACTTAGCTTAATTAGTTACCGGAACCCTTAAAGAGGATCATCACCTACGACCTACGGATCATTTTTGTGCCTATATTAACATAGAAACGTAATATAAGTTTATCCTACACAGAAGGATCTTGTTGAACCGTATCAACGCCTATTTTGGGTATGGACTACTGATTTGAAAGCTAGTGGAGCTTCCGGATAGAACTTGGGACCGTTGGCATGATGTTTTCGACCAGACAGCTACATGATAAATTATAGGAGCATAACTTAGACATCCTCTCCATCTAGATCGATCAAAGCTTTCAACATACACATTTTAAGCAAAGGTCTTTGAAAAATCATGGCAAGTATGGCTGCCTATGAAATTTAATATTCATGTTGTAGAAATTTAATGATGGAATGTAGGTTATATTTTTTTACAATGTTGTGGCGCCTGAACCAGTGGAGTGGCTAGAGTTTGTGACACCCGGGGCTGTCCTTCAGCTTCCCACATCTAATAAATGAAAACCACAGTGGATACAGAATGCACGTTAAAAATAAATTGTATAGTATTTGTAATGTACCGAAAATGCCCCCTAAAAAAATGCTGCCGGGGGCGGATCGCCTATCTTCTTACACCCATGGTCTGCCCTTTCCTTTTAACAGATGGCGCTAAGCAAGGTACCATCTTGGCACTATCAATATTTAGCCCCATGTTCTCTGCACATGCTCCCTGAAAGAGAAGCTTTAGTATAGGCATCAGGCACTGAACTGATGGTAAACTGTTCCACCTTAGCTGGTGACTGTGCTGTAAATTCTGGATCAGAAGCACAATAAAGAAAGTAGTGCTGCAAACTTATGCAATGCCTGCGAAATACCAAAAAGAATGAGGTCCTGCACCAGTCATTCATCCCTCCATCCATCCATCCCTGTGGCACTACAGCCCATGTAGGGCTTTGGCCTGCCTCACTACTTCCTTCCACTCAGACCTAACTAATGCTTTTCATTTCCATGCTTGGATTTTCAGTTGTTGTATATCATTTTCCACATCATCCATCCATCTAAGCCTATGTCTGCCGTTGAGCCTTTTTCCTCTGGGGTATTAGTGATGCATCCTCTTCGTTCCTCTGTCATATGGCATTCTCTCTGTGTCCTGCCCAGCGTAGCCTGCCCCTTTTTATTTCTGCTACTATCGTGTGATCCTGATATAGACTATACAATTCCTGGTTGGTTCGTATTCTCCATCCATATTCATCCTTTGTTGGTCCATATATTTTCCTGAGAACTTTTCTCTCTCATGTGTTTAATAGGTTTTCTGCCGTTTTTTGTTAGGTTCCAAGTTTCACTTGCGTATGTTACAACTGGTCTGATTACAGTTTTATAAATAGTTTTCTTTGTTTCTCTTGTAATGTTTTTACTTTTGAGTATTTTCTGACTACTGAAGTATGCCCTGTTTCCGGCTGATATTCTTTCTTTTATTTCTGTTAGTAATTCGTTTCTTCATTTAAGAAAGATCCCAGGTATTTGAATTGATTTACTTTTTCAAAAGTCTGGTTTCTAATTTTAATTGCTTCATCTCCCGTTTGTTCTTCTCTTATCATGGTCATGTATTTTGTGTTTGACCGGCCCTGCTTGTAGTGATGCGTCTTTTAATTCAATAAAGGATTTTGATACGTCTTAAATACTTTTCCCTAGCAGTGCTATGTCATCAGTAATGCAAGATACTGAAGTGGTTGGTTGTAAAGTGTGCCCACTGGTTGTGGGTCTTGAGTTTTCCTCAGAAAGTATCCTGTTATCGTTCCTCGAGTGTCAATGTGTATGTTTCTCATAACTATCTCTAAATTTAGGTTAAAAAGCATACAAGACTGTGAGTCTCCTGTCCTAAGCCTCGTCTAATCTGAAATTCCCTTGAATATTCTCCTTGAACCTTGATTTTGCTTTTTGAGCTGTTTAGTGTTACATGTATTAGTCTTGTCAATTTGTTGGGTATGCCAAACTCCTGCAGAGTCTCATATAGATATTTTCTTTTGATGCTGGCATAGGCCATTTTATAGTCCAGATAAAGTTGATGTACTGGTATATTATATTCATAGCATTTCTCTAATAGACATCTGATGGGGAAAATCTGATCAGTCGTTGATCTGTTAGGCCTGAATCCACATTGGTAATCACCTAGTATTTCTTCAATGTAAGGTTGTAGTCTTTTGGCAATAAGCTTCGTCAGTTAGACCCCTCCCCCTCAAATATAACGTAACAAATCTCGGCACCCACCCACTATAAAAAGTCCATATGTCCACTACTGTCCTTTACAACCCCTTAAAGAAATTCACCTCCCGTGGTTATGAAATTACTGCACCTGTGTCAGAAACATTTCACTAGAACAGTGGTTCTTATCCAGCAGTAAAAGTACCTCCCCAGCCATAAGGTGTGAAAGACCAGAAAAGTGTATTCAGTGGCGTAGCTAGGGGCCTACGGACCGCACAAGGGGGGGGGTGACATTAAATTGAGAAATTGCGTATTTACAGAGCACACACTGCTCGGTCTAACCGAAATTCATAAAAGGATAACAGATGACGCGTACATTTTCCATCCAAGTAACTAATCAAAACGCGTTTTTTAAATTAAAATTTCAAAGTTGATGCGTCAGCAATTAGTTTACCTTATGATAGGTCAGAAACACATCGTTTTGACCACGTTTCAACGCCAAATGAAGTGTTCGGTAACATTGGTAAGTGAAAGGTAGCTATATTTATCTAAATTCTGAGAAATAAAACTATCCTTTGATAACACTGAGTGATTATATGTACATGTCACAGTTCTTAAATACATTTACCTCCTGACCTTCAATTAATTAATTTTGTTTTTGTTCTTGTCATTGTTATACTGAGGACTGAGTTTAACAAGAAGAAATAGCCCCACATCGTGGAAGTGGGGGGGGGGGGAGAGAGAGATTTGACACCACGAGTTTACCGGACCCGGTGACACCAACCCTATCTACGCCACTGATTGTATTTGCTGCCATTGCTAGTTGTTGCTGCTTTAAAAAAATGTTTTTATGCATTTTGATTAGCAGTAGTAAATGTTTGTCTGTTGAATTTTGTTGGCACATTTCTTGTATTGGTAATTTGTTCCATTGTTTATAAAAAGTTAATTAAAGAAATAAAACTACGATAACTAAATTATTTAATTTTTTGTAATTTAATTTTAATATAATTTATATGGTTTGTGGGAAAGGGGTGTGTGTTTAAAACGGAGCGGGCCTGCAGCGCTGAAAAAAAAGTTTAATTAAGAATCCCTGCCCTAGAACATTTACTAGGATACCCCCCCTCCCCCCCCCCCGGTCAACCATTTTTTTTTCATTCCATCCCATTTCATGTGGTAGTCCTAATTCTTTGACAGACGTGAGAATTTAAGGCTAAATATGGACACAGGAAAGGGGTGTGTGTTTAAAACGGAGCGGGCCTGCAGCGCTGAAAAAAAAGTTTAAGTAAAAATCCCTGCCCTAGAACATTTACGAGGATACCCCCCCTCCCCCCCCCCCCGGTCAACCATTTTTTTTTCATTCCATCCCATTTCATGTGGTAGTCCTAATTCTTTGACAGACGTGAGAATTTAAGGCTAAATATGGACACGGGAGAGGTGTCATTGTAACTACATCCCGATTCGCCTCCCCCCGCGGCGTCCTGTAACTTGATCAGAGGCCATTTCTCGAAACTTGCATACCTGCAGTGATTCTCTCAGTGATCGTGTTTCAAAAATAAAATAATTATTGTATAAAAGAATAATGTTAAAATGACTGTAATGTAGGGTTATTAAGTGCAATTTGTTACAACAATCTTCCGCTTTTCATGTGACGTCACATTGCTAAAGCGTCCCCCCCCTCCCATCACACATCGTCACAAAAATCTGCCCCCCTCCCAACAGATGCATGACGTCATTTATGAATGCCATCATCAAATTTTTAGAATACCTCAGACCCTAAATGAAATGTGTTGAGCAATGTCTCATTTGTTTATTTACAATAATCTTTTCATATACATGAGTTCATTTTCGGTATTTAAAATATTTATTATTGTTCCAGAGTTCACTTTTTAAATGCATCCGGTTTAGATTGTGACGTCACGTTTAGTTGACATCATCACTGAAATAGCAAAAACAAAAGACATGTCTTACGCTTACCTATTCAAATATATAATTATTGGTGACACAGGTAATGAAGAGTTCAGCGAGCTCTTTTAAAATATTATCTTAATAATACCTAAATTATTTTTCTTTTCTTAAACGATCAGTGTAAATTACATAGCTCTCTGCTAATCAAAATAGTCCAATCCATCATGGCGGACAAAAGAAACAACTAGTGACTAGTAGTAGTTAGGCTAATTAAGTATGCAGTTGTTAAATGGTGCTTAATATTATACATTTAGCCTATAGTATTTTATCTTAAGAGTTCATACATTGAAATTTGATTAATAGTAGACTTATGACATAGTCAATTAAATCTATTCAACAATAAATTTGCTCTTTTAATATGTACTTAAATAAGTACAAAAATTAAAATTAAGAATTTTTTTGATGATAGTATAATTAGATACGTTGGTCAAAAATTTAAACATTTTGTAAAAATAAACCAATGTCATAGTTGAATAGAGCTAAATTTTTACAGAATTATAACACCAAAATCATATTTTTAGCTCTTGTAGTTTTAAAGTTATGAATTTTTAAAGTACGACTTGGTTTGTCCTTTTTTAACATGGACTGCATCATCACATTCTGTGACCTCAATCCGCCGATTGCGTCATGCGCAATGACTATATAATATATAGTTTATATAAGGCATTCCCTTATCACTAAAATACTGTTTAGGGTCGACTTATTTTAAACGTTCAACTTTGGCACATGAATAATTAATTACAGCTTTCCCTGACCAATGGTTTAATAGTTTTTGCACAAGGCAAACTCTTATGAATGAAACTCTGAGATAGTACTACGTCATAGCCGTTATGCAAGTGGTTGTGAATGGTTGCCAATGACAACGTGTTGCACAAGGAAAATTCTGATCATTTATAATATGGACTCTACAGGGTTTTTAAAGCTCAAATTAAAACATTCCAGTTTAAATTAGGGGTGTGCCGGATCCGTTTTTTCCAACCGGATCCGGATTTTCTTATGCGAAATCCGCCGGATCCGGATTCCGGTTTCTCCCGGATTCCGGATTTTGGTACTATCGGTAGATACTTCGGTAAGTCAAGGTGGACTACTACTTTTTGTGTATGGGAATTCGCAATCGGCGCCAAAAAATCCGAGTTTTTAATTTTCCGATGTGTGTGTCTATTTATTATTAAATTAGTACTTTCGATATATATTTGAGTTCCGTTCCATTTGGATAAGTGTCTTACGAGAGACGCCATGTTTCTACGCGTTCGCAGCAGGTTATGCAGCTCGCTCAACCTAATTTCGCCATGGGGTTGGCCACGCCCCCCTTTTTAATGGCGGAAGTTGACGATACTTAGGAAATATTAATTTATTATCACTATTTACATCAAAATAATTGATAACTTGTGTTTCAGAATGCATTTAAAGACATTTAAACTGGAATGTTTTAATTTGAGCTTTAACAACCCGGTAGAATCCATATTATAAATGATCAGAATTTACCGTGTGCAACACGTTGTCATTGGCAACCATTCACAGCCACTTGCATAACTGTATCGTAGTACTACCTCAGAGTTTCATTCATAAGAGTTTGCCGTGTGCAAAAACTATTAAACCATTGGTCAGGGAAAGCTTTAATTAATTATTCATGTGCCAAAGTTGAAAGTTTAAACTAAGTCTAAACAGTATTTTAGTGATAAGGCAGGGAATGCGTTGCCTTATATAAACTATATAGTCATTGCGCATGACGGGATTGGTGGAATGAGATCACAGAATGTGGAGATGCAGTCCATGTTAAAAAATGACAAACCAAGTCGTACTTTAAAAATTCATAACTTTAAAACTACAACAGCTAAAAATATGATTTTGGTGTTATAATTCTTTAAAAAATTACATCTTTTCAACTATGCCATTGGTTTATTTTTACAAAAAGTTTAAATTTTCTTATCAAAGTCCCTACACTATTGGCCACTATTAGCGGTGCTGACTCTAGCCTCTGGTATGTACGGAATATTAAACATTAAACAAGCTCAACGCTCGAAACAATCGATTAATGTATCGTGATCGTGTGAAATTCGGGAAAGAGAATTACTTTTATTTCAGATTATGATCCGGTGAGTCACAAAATCTGGCAAATTCCGAAATCCGGTATATTCCGGATTGCGGAATCCGGTTGTTCCGGATACATGTAAATCCGGCGGAACCGGATTTCACCGGATAGTGCAAAATCCGGCGGAACCGGATTCCGGACCGGGGTCCGGCACACCCCTAGTTTAAATGTCTTCAAAATGCATCCTGAAACACAAGTTATCAAATATTTTGATGTATATGGTGGTAATAATTAAATATTTCTTAAGTATCGGCAACTTCCGCCATTAAAAAGGAGCGTGGCCCACGCCATGTCGAAATTAAACTGAGCCCCCTTATGATTATGGTGATATGGGTCACTGGGAGAAGCGTAGCGAACGTGGGACACGACCTACATCAATGAGAATAGGCACAGATATATGTCAATATCTAATGCCTTACACGATTTAATATAAAAGACATGTTCCTTATATTTCACAAAAAATTTTGTATTCGAAGATGCCTTATATATACCAAAGATTTTCAAAATGAAGGTCGATTGAAAAAAGCAAAATAGCTGGATGGAGATGTAGGCCAAGATGTCTTCCAAATTATAAGGCCGGAAACGGAACTCAAATATATGTCGAAAGAACTAATTTAATAATAAATAGACACACACATCGGAAATTTAAAAACTCAGATTTTTCGGCGCCGACGCCCATTTCCGATACACAAAAAGTAGTAGTCTCCCTTGTTTTATCCAAGTACCTAGTATAATTGTTAGGTACGGTACTTTGATTAGAAAATTAAAACTTTTTGTAAAAATAAACCAATGGCATAGTTTAATAGAGAACATTTTTTAAAGAATTATAACACCAAAATCATATTTTAAGCTGTTGTAGTTTTAAAGTTATGAATTTTTAAAGTACGACCTCGTTTGTCATTTTTCAACATGGACTGCATCTCCAGATTCTGTGACCCTATTCCGCTGTTCACGTCACGAGCTATATAACTCTCGTTTTTATGCAACTTTTATTTTCAGAACTAATGCTGTATTAACAAATAATTTTAATAATGTTATACAATTATATATAAATTATAGTTTATCTAACTATGCACTATGTATAACAATAAATTTAAAATAATATATTAATATATAGCTTTTCTGTTTACCAAATCTTCAGCGTCCATTTTGCCGATATATGCTGTATAGTCAATATAAGGCAACGCACCCCATAAAATGTTGTTTGGGATCTACTTATTTTGAACTTTCAACTTTGTCACATGACTAATTAACTAAAGCTTTCCCTGATCAATGGTGTTAATAGTTTTTGCACACAGCAAACTCTTATGAATGAAACTTGAGGTAGTACTACGGCATAGCATTATGGAAATGGCTGTGAATGGTTTCCCATGACTTTTTGCACACTGTCAATTCTGATCGTTAATAATGTGGACTCTACTGGGTTTTTAAAGCTCAAATTTTAAAATTCTAGTTTAAATGTCTTCAAAATGCATTCTGAAACACAAGTTATCAAATATTTTGATGTATATAGAGGTAATAATGAATATTTCCTAAGCTAAGTATCAGCATTTTCCGCCATTTAAAAGGGGGCGGGATCACTAATCCAAAATAGCCTGTGAGACCTTTGCATAATGAGGTCAATGTTGAGGAGAATTGTGAAAATGTTTCATGAGCTATCTTAATGAAGTTTTGCACACATGTACTTCAACAAATTATGAAGTCCTACTTTTAAAATGAAAGACCTACTTTGAATATTTAGACCATATTTTTTTATGCGAAGATGCCTTATATTGACATACAATTTTGCTTACATAACGTTGATATAAAGAAAAAATTAACTCAATGGGAATGTTGTTCAACATTTCTCCTAACGTTAATGGGCGGAGTCAGACCTTAATTATAGGCAAAAAGGACACCTAATTTATTCAAATTGCACATGAAAAATTAAAAACTCGGACTCCTTTGCGCAGACGCACATTTCCGATACAAATTTACTAGGAGTGTCCTTTGCTTCGGCGGAGTACCTAGATAATAGTTATTTAGAGCGAATTTCTAATGAAAAAAATGAAACCAGTATCAACTTTTTAGCTTAAGTACTTTTTGAGCTAAGAATTTTTTTTAAGTGTGAGTTCGTTTAGTATTTTTTACTATGGTCACATCTTGTGACCTCATTCCGTTGATCGTGTCATGCGCAATGACTATATAGTTTATATAACTAAAATACTGTTTAGAGTCGACTTATTTTAAACTTTCAACTTTGGCACATGAATAATTAATTACAGCTTTCCCTGACCAATGGTTTAATAGTTTTTGCACACGGCAAACTCTTATCATGTCATTATGAATGAAACTCTTAGGTAGTACTACGGCATAGCCATTATGCAAGTGGCTGTGAATGGTTGCCAATGACAACATGTTGCACACGGAAAATTCTGATCATTTATAATATGGACTCTACCGGGTTTAAAGCTCAAATTAAAACATTCCAGTTTAAATGTCTTCAAAATGCATTCTGAAACACAAGTTATCAAATATTTTGATGTAACTAGTGGTAATAATTTAATATTTCCTAAGTATTGGAAACTTCCGCCATTAAAAAGGGGGCATGGTTACATTCATCGAAATTGGGTGAAGTGAACTGCATGACATGTTGCGAACCCGTATAAACATGGCGTCTCTCGTATAACACATAGCATTGTGAAAATTGGCATACATGCTGATCAATACATGCCCAATATGTATAAAAAAATTGGGTAGTGCCATATCTTTTACTTCGACTTCATTTTAATGACGAAAGTTGTCTTATATTCACTAAGGATTTTCTCAAAGCCAAGCTGACCGATTGTAAATGAAAAAGAAATTGATCAAAATGTAGGCCAAGATGTCCTCTAAAGCGAAAGGCCGGAAGAGTAACACAATTCTGGGATATAGTAATTATTTTATGAATGAAATAGTACCAACATCAAAAAATTAAAAACTCGGATTTTCGCTCGCCGAGTGCCATTTCCCACACAAATTTTTAGTAGTCTCGCTTGCTTTATGGAAGTACCTACTTTTAACTACAACTAAAACTTTCAATTCTTAAATCTAAATTCTTAATTTAATGTTCCTTTTTCTGTTTAACAATTCAGCAACTGAGCAATGCAGTAAGCTTTTTTAAGTCTCAGGCTTTTAATTTTATACTAAAAATAGGTATGGCAGTAAAGCCGTTTTTAATGATTTTTTCATTAATTCAAGGACTATTTTTTCATAAAATTGCGTTTCTCCACATGTTTACAATAAGGGATACTTAGCCTACTTTCCATCATACCGTTGTGCCTTTTTTTATCTATATTAATTTTCGCAATTCATAGGTATATATTAAGCATCTTTCCCTCAAACATTTTTGAAGAAATTAAAAGAACATGTCTTTCATATTAAATACTGAAAAGCTTGATATATTGTTATATTTGTGTGTCCCCATTCTCATTGTTATTTCATTTCCGACGTTCGGTGCAAGAAACCTACATTATCGTAAGGTCGCTCAACCCAATTTCAACCACGGGTCCTTTTTAATGGTGGTAGATGTCGATAGTAACTAAATATTCAATTTTTACCACTATTTACATCAAAATATTTGAAAACTTGTGTTTTAAAATGAACTTAGAGGTAATTTAAACAAGGATATTGTAATTTGAGGTTTAAAAACTCGGAAGTCCATATTATAAATGATCATAATTTGCAGTGTTCAAAACTTTGTCTTGGGTAACCATTCACAGTCTCTTGCATGTGCTATGGTATTATAGTATTATTCTCATAGTTTCATTCATAAGAGAATAAATGTGCCATGTGCAAACAACTCCCCCAACTCAGTATTTTCGGATTGGAAAATAAAAATGTCAGTTTAAATGACAAGGAACTGGTAACTGGGAGAAAATGTCCACCTGGAAGTTCCCTGGCTGTTAATTTAACTCTCATAATAAGTGTAATTATTGAATAAAAAAATATGTAGGCCTATGTGAAATAAAATTGAGACTAATATGATGAATGAAGGCTTGTTGCCAGCATAAATAATATGAAATAAGTGTTCTTGATCCTTTGCAAATTAGTGCAGTTCTACCTGAAAATCTCAATTTTAGGTACTTATTCTCAGACAATTAAAGTTTTGAAGTTTGAACAATGAAAAGAGGTCTATGTGCCAAAGTTCACATTTTTAAGGGATGTTGTAAATGAAAATGATCTTATATCCAGAGCTATATTATTCGTTTGAAAATCGAAGCAATTAGATTATGGTTGCATGGGGTCCTATTCCTTGATGACTAAAGTAAGAAATAGGCCTAAGATATTCCACTCTGAAAGCCAGGAGCTCAGTTTTATTAAAAAAAAATAAAAATACAAGCTATTCTTAAAATCTGAATGGGATGTTTCTAAATTTTAACAATTCAATGTGAATTTAATTAACAAGTTGCTTGCTCAAAATCAGGTAAACACATGTGTACGTTTTTGAAATTTCAAGTATAAGTCTAAGATAAATTGGCGCCAATTGAAGAAAGAAAATAGCAAAATAGATACAAATTAATATAATATTTAAGCTATTTCCCTAATTAAAAAAACAACTGACCGATCTTGCAAAAGTTCCTAACCACTTCTGCCTTATCAAAAAAAATGTATAGGCCATACAATTTATTATTAAATTGCAGTGAATTTTAACTGGCAATTGGATCTCCTTCAACATCATATTGACAATCATGGGGATGGTTAGTACTCTTTAACCTTGGATGGTAACTCATCTAAGATAAAGCAAATTCTGAAATCAAACCTGGAGATAGAGTCCAGTAAGCTTTATGACATTGACACAACAAAAATTCTGACTACTCCTGCAGTGTAGAACACATAAAGAAACACTTTTTGGTCATCTACTGCATCCTGGTCTATTTCCAGTCATCTTGACTAAGTCTTGCTATTAGATCAAGAAAACATAAATGAAAGGACTGCTTTCAAGCTTGTAAATGAATGAAATAGCGAAACGAGGTATGTGGAAGCTTGAAATGAGATAGCAGGACAAAAAACAAGGGCGTTTCGGCATAAAGCCTTCCTCAGCCAACAATAGAAATGAAAATATAACAAAGAAAAGAGCACAGCAGACAACTCAAGCAGTATCCATTCGTGTCTCCGGAAGTGGGAACTCAGGAAGCGAGAGAATATAAATATTGACACTGTGAAAATGTGAAAAACGAAGTCCACACAATAATACCAATGGCACCATATCTCCATATGGTATTAATCAAATAATATCCTACTGATGTTTCTCTGTTTCCCTATATTTCATCTATTTTCTTATTGCTGTGTGTTGATGTATCCCTGGATATTCTGGTCCATTATTATTGTGGACTTCATTTTTCACAGTGTCAATATTTATATTCTCTCGCTTCCTGAGTTCCCACTTCCGGAGACACGAATGGATACTGCTTGAGTTGTCTGCTGTGCTCTTTTCTTTGTTATATTTTCACTTCTATTGTTGACTGAGGAAGGCTTTATGCCTAAACGTCCTTGTTTTTTTGTCCTGTTATCTCATTTCAAGCTTCCACATACCTCGTTTCGCTATTTCATTCTATTAGATCAAATAGGCAAAGGACAAAAGAGTGAGGCTGATGAATTGAGCTATTCTCCCTCACTTTAAACAAAATACAGCTCAAATCAAGTCGAATTTTGCCTTGGTCATCTTTGTATGCGAAGGATGAACAATAATATAAACAATAAAAATTCATGGGGACGTAATTGAGGTTTTCTTTTGCTTTTCAACCCACGAAATAATCTAATATGTAGGTCACCAATGAATTTTTTTTTTTACATTCTATATACCCAAATAACTTTATATTTGCTGACTCAAAGAGTAATGTTTAATGTTTCTAAAAAACTTATTTGGATGATAAAAAAGGCCCAACAGTCAGTGTGGGTGTGAGTTGAAGAAAGTAGCACAATTGTGTATTCACTGTTGAAAGGTTAAGGTCATATTCATTTAGCTCACAGAATTCCAACATTCATTCCATTCATGTGATTCCTTGTCCAATTACTCTCAGCATTTCTATACTTACATGTGCCTAAGTTTACACCACAGCATGTGACAGTTTGACATTTTGTGGGTTTGAAAGAAAAAAAAAAATATATATATATATACACACACACACATGATTTTTAATGTAATTAAATTTTTTTTTTAACAATCTTTATAGACAATGTTCTGAGTTTAAATCAAGATTTTTAAGTGCCTATTAGTAATAAATATTTGTTGAGCTGTGAGAAAACCAATGATGCTATAGATATATTTCTTTGTTGGAAGACCTTTTTTTGTGTGAACATTTTCAGAGATAGTATTGTATAAATTCATAGCCTGTTAAACAGGCTTCCTTAACACAGGCTCAGCAGCTGTGTAACAGTGTCATGTAAAATCACATTATGCACATTTGCCTGCCAGGAACAGATGTTACCCCTTTTGTTAGTGAATCATGGATGATACAGGCCAGAACTCCTGATCATAGCATAGTGCTATTATGTTTCAAAGTATGGATTTTTTTTTTTCTATTTGGGGAGGAAGAAAAAACATATATTTCTAAAACAAGACAAACAGTACTCATATTTTAATTAAGTCCACATTTATTTAATAATCCCTCTTAAACACTAACAATACAAGGTAGATTGATGTAATTAGAGTGTCATTGTAAAATTATATTGTACTTAAGTATTAGGGGTCTCTTGTGTAGTTTTCCAAACTTAATACCAAAAAAAACAAACCATGAATGATCACTGTAACCAATTTTCTTTGTTGATCCAAACATCTTGCCTCATGGCATCCCATCCTAATTGAAATTTGGCCTAGGTGCTATGCACAGATTTATATTGTTGTCTTTTACATTTTTCTAAACTTCAATGATTTTTAGTAATAATTAGCTATTCTACATACAAATCTAAGATAAATTGTAGTACAACCTTTTAATTTAAAAAAAAATGTCATTACAGTATTTCTTATGTATATCTGAAAAGAAAGCATTCACCTTGACATTATTTTATTACACTATGAAACCAAAGAATGTTCCTAAAATGTAAATATATAAACTCTTCACAAACCCGCTGAACAATTTTTAACTTGTTTTTTTTTTTAATAAGTGACCAGTTCTACAAGATTCACACTCTGGTCCACATTAACTTAGTTCACCCGACTCTTACACCTTAACTCATCTCTTTACTTGCAGGTGTTGGCAAATCCTGTCTGCTACTTCAGTTCACAGACAAAAGATTTCAACCAGTTCATGATCTAACAATAGGTAAGTTTTGATGATAAGTGTTTTGTGTGTGCATTGATTTTTGGTTTATGTAAATTGATATTCAAGATGATTGCAACCGAAAGGAACAAAAGGTTGATGCCCATTGTCTATGTGAAGATTTTAAAGCAGCAGAAACATTGTGTAAGGATTGAATAGCTAACATTGAAATTGTTGTATATTTTATATATTTTTATTTTTAAAAATTAAAAAAATATATATTTTTACTGTTGCAGGTTGTGTTCTTTGGTTAATCTTTTGAAACAAAAATCAATTCTATTTTTTTAGGTGTTGAGTTTGGGGCGCGCATGATAACAATTGATGGCAAACAAATCAAACTCCAGATATGGGACACGGTATGTTCAAATAATTATTTCATCCCTCCCTTCCCCAAATGTTTCCATGAATTTAAGAAAAAAAGCAACTTAGTACAAAGAAATAAGATAAACATGCATTTGCAGAAATTGTTTGGGTTTTCTATTTTAATGGTTTGTTTTGAAATAAAACTATAATTTTTATACCATTTTATTTAACTGAATGCTATAAATAATATTTGTAGCTATTTCAAATGTACTATTAACTATAGCATAAAAATAATATTGCTAAGAAATAAAAAAAAAAGAAAAGATTATTGAATTCCTGTAGTGTGATTTACTGATTAATAATATATAATTTTCTAAAACTCTGTAATTAATGTTTTTGATAGATTTAAGAAATCTACCGGTCCTTTAGTTTTTAAAAGCATTATTTATTTTTTTTTTATAGGCGTATAGTAAATTTGTAATAATGATGATAGTAATTTGTAATGATAATGATAGTAATTTGTAATGATAATGATAGTAAATTGTAATGATAATGATAGTAATTTGTAATGATAATGATAGTAATTTGTAAGGTTAATGATAGTAATTTGTAATGATGATGATAGTAATTTGTAATGATAATGATAGTAATTTGTAATGATAATGATAGTAATTTGTAATGATAATGATAGTAATTTGTAATGATAATGATAGTAATTTGTATTAAAAAGTGTGAAAGGTAATCCAATTCTAAATAAATAATGACATTATTTACTGCAACCACTTCTAAGGCTGGACAAGAGTCCTTCAGGTCAATTACAAGATCTTATTACAGAGGAGCTGCAGGAGCACTTCTAGTCTATGACATCACCAGGTACGTTTGCTCCTTTTAGTTTGGATTATTTAATGTTAATATATTAAAATAATTGTTAAATTAATAAAATTGTGAATAGTTTTTAATCTTGTAACAACATGTACGGAGTGGCTATTCGCACCCGGGTACCAGAGGGGAGAGGTTGGGATTAAAAAAACTATTTGAAATATTATTGTTGGGTTTGTAAGATAAAATGAGGTGTCAAATGAAAGATAATTGAATGGATTATATGTTTGTAAACTTAATTCTTCAGTTTAACTTTAACTAAAATAAACTACCACAAATGACATCCGAATAGCATTTTGTCTTACAAACCCAACAATAATATTTTAAATAGTTTTTTAATCCCAATCTCTCACTTCTGGTACCCGGGTGCAAATAGTTGCAGCCTAACATGTAACCTTTAATCCACATCAGCAGCTTTTAACTTTAAAAAATCTTTAATAAAAATTCCACTAATAACCAAAATTCTATGATGCACCATTAAAAATGAAAAATTTTGATGAGAAGCTGTATAGCTACCAATAATGCTATAAGCACAGTTTTTCCCTTTATTTCATAATCCAGCTGATATAATTCTTTTATATAAAAATATTACAACACACCAATGAATCTTTCATGACACACTAGTTGAAAACTGCTGTTCAATTTCTATAAAAGTTAGTATTTTGTTTCAGACATTCTATTTTTATCCTCCACTTTATTTTAAATATTTATTTGTAATTGTCCAATTATTTTTTTTTTAGACGTGACACTTTTAACCACCTGACAACATGGTTAGAAGATGCAAGACAACATTCAAATTCTAACATGGTCATTATGCTCATTGGAAACAAAAGGTATTTCTAAATGGAAGTTGTTACTCGATCGGGGATCTCAACAAGTTGTTGAATGTTACACTACACGAAACATTAATTACCATGCCACAGGGGTCTCAAACTCAAATCATCCGGGGGTCGCAGGAGGTAGAGTCTGAGTGAGACTAGGCCGCAGCAAGTATTCCACAAAAAAGCGATTAAAAATTTCAATAAATTACAACTGTTACAATCTGGTCAACCTTTATTAATAACATAAAAACATTAAGGGTTCTCAAGAACTAGGCTTCACGTTCTTCCTCCTATTCCTTTTTGCCAGAGACCTGGCATTTGGCCAGAGACGTGGCAGATCTTCTTCTTTAATAGCTGAGCAATATTTAGCTTGAGTGACGAAGCAACTGTGACTTGTTAAAGTTCATAGTGGAAAAAGAGCTTTTCACACAGATAAGTACTCCCAAAAAAGGCACAAGATCTGCTTGAACAACCTGGAAATCTCAGGGAAGGTGGAGGACAATGCTCTCATAAAATGACCATGCCTGTCACTTTTTCCATTCACCTCCCTGAACTTAGAATTGCACTGAAGATCAATCAGCTCCATTTGAAGCGCAAAACATGGGGTGGGGTGGCATCTTCCACATTGAAGGGGAAAGAGTTGGCAAAAATTTTGAAAAGTGGTTCTGTGTGTTTTGTTTTGATCAATATATATGTGATCAAATTCTTCCTGTAGCTTTGCAATGGCACCAGTATACTTACTAGGAAGTTACTACTGAATGGTGTGCCAAAGTCCATGAGTACTTTGCATGTTGGGAAATTGCAGAGGTTACTCTGAGAACCATAACAAATTTTGTGCAGAATGCCCTGACATTGTCATAGGCAACACTGACAAGCGACCCCTGGTCTTGTAACTTCTTGTTGAGTACATTTAGCTTCTGTGTAATATCAAAAATAAAAGCCAAGTCCATGAGCCATTTGGGATTACTTAGTACAGGAACAACCACCCCATCCTTCTCCATGAAGACTTTAAAGGCTAAAACATATTCAAACAGTAGACAAGTGCAGGCAATATTGATGTATTGGAAGATGCTATTGTAGGAAAAATGAATTTTGCTTTTTTTATTGTAGAGAAAGCCTTTTTGACTAACCCTATTTTGAAAGTAACCAAGCTGACAGGCTCGGAATTTCTCTCACTTGTAAACACTAGCGGCAATTTCAATAGGGATTCTTTGATAATGTGTCAGATTGCTACAATTTACATAATTATGGTTATGCATTACCCACTACCTGACTTTTTAAACTTTTCTCAAAATTGCACATGGCCATGTTTGTCTCATAAAATGCTATAAAATAAAAACTTTTAGTCTGATTTAAAAAAGGTTTTTACTATTATAATCAACGTCCAAATTTATACAAACATAATGAAAATCAGAAATGGACTAGTCGGTGAGATTCGACTTAAACTATCACGGAGAATCATATTATAGATATGAGAATGGGGAAAATGTACGGGCCACATTAACACTAAACTTTTCTGTCGTGAGTTTGAGACCCCTGCCATGCCAGCATCCAACAGCAGCCCTCTATTTTTTAAAGCTCACATAATTCACTTAGAGCTCAATTATATTTTAGAACAGTTTGATTAACTCGTTATATAATGCTTATTTTATCTTGTGTGAACATTTTGCAAACATTGTAAAAGTAATAGTTTAAAAAACTGTTTCTTCACATCTTTTTAACCCTTTAACTGTCAAGTGCATTTTTCTGTGGTGTCAAGTCATTTTTAGCATTTTCACATGCTTGTCAAAAATGTTGAAATCTCATACTAAATGAATTCAGAGACCCTTACAAGTAAACATTTTCTTAACATGCATTGGACAAGGTGTCTTATGGTATGAAAAGAATTCATTTTTATCTTATGTATGTTGATTTTGACCTTACCTTTACAGAGTGAGTAAAATTGTACTACTCAATTTCTGAATTCAACTCAACTTAATGCTCCATAAATTGTTCAAACTATCATAAAATCAAGTTTTTGAGAAACTAGAAATAATATTCTTTCAGAAAATGTCAAGTTATAGTTACTTATATTGAAAATGGTAATAATGGTGAATTTTTTTCATTAGCGTCATTCAAATTTCTGTCATACAAAATACACTGGGAAAGGCACGAAATGAGTTTTAAAATTCCTTTTTAAATTAAATGCATTTTTTTATTAATTTATTAATTACTACTCCAGAACATAGACAAACATAAATGTCTTTGAATCTCTTTGGGATACGTCTTTGTGATCCAGTTTTTGTCTTTTTTGTTCGATTTCCATCCATTCTCAAACAAAATTGTCTGTAACAATACGATTTAGCTTAAAATTGTCAATATCTTATCTCGCCATACCTGATAGAGCTAATACATCATTACTAGCTTGTGGATTATCTTTGAAATTATTGCTTTCATTTTAATCCATTTGAAATTATTCCAATAAAGAAAGTCTGTGTTCATTTCTTAATCTAGATGGGGGTCCTCTCCAGCATCAAACATGGCGGTAAAAAAAATTGATAAAATTTCACACCCGATTAATCACAAATAAAGCCCCGATAAAAACACTTGAACACTCGGAAAGTAACGGAAAGCGGAAGGAAACTCATTTATATAGTGATTTCTGCTTAATTAACCTGTATACTTCAAATTATTCGCATGTTTAAAGACGATTTTATTAGGGTTTTACGGTCGATGATCGGCTGTTTTGACAGTTATAGATTTAAATACAAAAATTAGGAGATATATTTTGATGTAAAACACTTAAGATATAGATTGTTATGTAAAAATCAGGATTTATATTTCCATTACATTATTTCTTAGTGATTTGGAAGCCAGGAGAGAAGTGAAGAAAGAAGAAGGCGAGGCATTTGCGAGGGAGCATGGCTTGATATTCATGGAAACCTCTGCAAAAACTGCTGCTAATGTTGAAGAGGTGCATACATTTAATCTTAAATAAAAAAATTGGACTGGCCTGTGTCAGGAATAAGAACATTAAGATTTGTAATCTCCTCTTGTCAGCATCTAATTTATAAAGGGCCGTTTGACTGTATGTATGTATGTATTTACTTGTGTTAGTTGGTGACATAAAAACTAAACAAGGGATCACAACCAAATTTGACATGCTCACACCTCCTGACATAAATGTGGTTCCTGGAAAGTTTGGTAAAAATCACATAGCACAAACTGATTTTTGAATGTGCTAAAACTAGGTGACTGTTCATTCACCGCTGCATATTAATTATTATGTAATATCTACTAAGGGCAGTGTCCCTATGTATGTATTTACAGGGTTAACACTGGGTAATATCTGCTCGTATGTTATATAGATTAAATTTTTATTAAAAGTGCTGATGATCAGGTACTTTTTGGTTCAATTATGGAACCAAATTAATTTTCTGAAATATTGAAAGTATTGAACTGAAAGAAAACAATAAAATTTCTTTTATGTTTGTGCACATACAACAATCTAATGGATAACATTCGTGATAACCACAAAAATGGGTTTTGTTTATAAATGCAGATAAAAAATTAAATTTTTCGGAGCAACAACAGTAAATGTGTTAAGTGCATCTAAATTTATATGATCTATGAATTATGATCACTTAGTATTTAATCAAAGATGTATAAACTTTTATACAATGTGCATTTAATTTTTTGTTTGCACATGAGTTTATCAAAAGTGGGATCGTAATTTTGTGGTCTTAAAGACCATTAGTAATGGGATGGCACAAGAGAAAATAAATATTGACAAATAATCTCCATGTAAATGGCACTGCAACCTTTAAGAACAATGATCTCTCATCACTAGGCTTTTATCAACACCGCCAAAGAAATCTACCAAAAGATACAGGATGGTGTATTTGATATCAACAATGAGGTAAACAAAATTATTTTAATTTGTTATCAAGTTAATATGATCCTTCTAATAGAATATATTCTCTCTCATAAGGCCAATTTCCCACTTCCACATCTTCATCTTTGTTTACTCAGTCCCCTGTGGCACAAAGGCCATTAATAAAACTCTTTCTGAATTTCCCTGATTTTAAATCTTTACCTTTCAGTTCTTGCTAATTCCTTGTCTAAACTTTCCTAGCTCTTCCAGTGAAGTCACTTCCTTCCTTGTCCAAGTTTTACTAGTTTTTCCAGTGATGTTACTTCCTTGTCCAACTCTCATTTGGCCATTTTAATGACAGCTAGTACCTTGCCCAATTCTCTCCTGTTCACTTCAATGATAGCCAGTACCTTGCTCAACTATCTCCTCCTAGATGGCCTTGATATTCTTCCTCCCACACAAATGAAGAAAAGCATTTATTTTTGCTACCTTCTAAACAAGTGCTACCTATTTAATTTTCTTTCCTTCTTGCTTTGATCCAGATATTATTCTTAGCAATCTCTTATATTCTTAATTATACATCTTCATATTTCCCAGGCTAATGGCATCAAAATTGGACCCCAGCATTCGCCAGCCAGTCAGAGTTTGAATGTGGGGGGATCTGGTGGAAACCAAGGGGGAAACTGCTGTTAAAAAGGGGATGGAACAAGTCTCATTGGGAGGAATAACACAGGCTGCCACATGGAATCAGAGGCAAGCAGTTCCAAAAAATAAATGAAGACTCTGCATTGGTCTTTCTTTGGATCTAAAACCTCTTTGTTATTTTTCACAAATGTTTCCACTTATTTATTGGATAAAAAAAATACCCTTAAAAAATGAATGGCAGTCCGATGGTATAATATTTGATTGGGCCTATTTGTTTCAGATCGTTCACTTGGTCTGAATTCAACTTGAATTAGGAGAATCAATCATCTCTTTTGTTTCTGTGGTTATATTTCTATGGGTTTTATTTTATGGGGAACTGAATTTTGTGACTCCAAAGTTAGCCATCACTTGTGAGGAAAATCTGGCTGCAATTTTCTTTCACATGTTTTGCTGAAGAAAAAGAAAAAATAGCTCATTATATTTTGGGGAATACACATCTTATGTTTAAAAGTATGACAATTTACTTGATACATAACAAATGCATGAATTATAAATGATTATTTTTATTGTTAACATGTGACTTTCAAAAAATGTTTTCTACACAACTAATAAATTTTGTTTGTCCATGGTTAGAAAAAACAATTCCAAAAAGCTTGCTATGCACTCAAGGCTTCAGTATCTTCAGTCTGTTGAAGAAGTTAATTGTTTCTCATAAAATTAGTCTTAAAATTTAAACTGTCTATAAAATATTTTTGAGAATGGCTGTTATGTCAAATGCTACATTTGAAATGGACAGAAAAATAACATGGTTGTGAAAGAGTTGAATTTGAACAAATTCAAAGACTATTCAAAGACTAAAAAATAAACTCAGAAGAAAAAACTTTTAAAAATAGATAAGGAAGTGTCTCTCTTCTGTAAAAAGGGACAGAAAAATAAGCACCATTCTTATACCAACCATGTTTTTTTATTATTTAAAAATGGCATGCCTTTGTCTCCTCAGTGCAGTTGAATGTAAAGATATTGTTTGTTTCAGTTCTTCTTTGGTCCAGCTGTTAATTTTGTACATTTAGATGTATAAGCTATAAACTACATTTATCCTATTAGCATTGGACACTAAATGAATCATTCACATGGTGTTGAGATGTTATCATTTACTGATTTGGATTAAAGGGATTGAAGATACTATGTGTGCTGAGAACATTTTTTTTCTTATCATTTCTCTCTCTTACTCTGTCATTCTCAATTTTAAAAATATTTAAAATGTTTAAAAAATGACAAGTTCTATCCAAGTAAATTCAATTAATTTAAATCGTCTCTACTTTTTTTTGAGATTTGCATTAATTCATTTTTGTTGTTGCTTAATTATATCTTGTACAATTCACAAATTCATTATACATTACTTAGACTTCTAAATTAAAAAAAAAATTAACCCACGTTTTAATTAATTACATTTTACAAAATTTACATATGTGAAATTACTGTTAAAGAAAACTTATTTTATATAGTGGTTAAGAAAATTAAAACTCAGTTGAGATCAGTTTGCAATGGTTGTTAATTTGATTGAATACTATATAATTATTTCATCTGTGAACAAATAAACCAGTTGCAAAAAATTAACTTAAATGGATGAGATAAAAGTTTCTTTAACAGAAGTTATATTTAGAAATGGAAGCACTTCCAAAAGCTGGGCTCTTTTGTATATAATCACAAGCTGATTGTCAGAGTATAAGTAATTTGTCTGCACCTAAACCATTCCACATTTCATTTGCAATATGTCATACAAATAGCAGTAAGGAAGAACACTCATCCAATCAAACAGTTTGGGGTGGGGAATTTTACTTAACATTTGCTCTAAAAGTTAATAAATTTATTTGATGTTAGACTTAGTGACCATGGGCTAGAAATAACCTTTTATACTGTAATGAATCTCTTCAGTGTGATAATTATCAAAGTAATATGTATACAAAGTTCAGCTTTGAGGTTTCAGGAACAAGCTATTTAATAAACAGAATTTAATTTAATCAAATAACTCTCAGACTCACACAAAGTAATAATTGAATTACTATTAATTTTGTGTAATATATATTTTTTCATAAACAAAAAATTATTTTTTACAAAAGGGAAAATGGAAACAAATAACATTTACGTGTTGTTTTTTTTTTCAATAATTTTGATGGTTAATTTTAAATTTATTTTTTTAGCATTTAATCGGGTTCATATTTCATTGCTGTGATTTATTTCTTGTTTACATAAATATGTTTGGTTGCCCTCATACTGAACTGATCATGACATCACTACTAGCTGTAACTGTTGTGCTCTTGCCGTTGTGTTGTGTGTATATTGTGTCAAGTACAAATCTCTGTATCCGGCACTATTTTATTTAACCTCCCTTCCCAATAGGCAAGAAAAATATTGGAAACTTAAAAATGTAACAGCTAATATCTTTTCCTCAATTTTATTAGCAGGCTTTAATTGGGATCTTAATTAATTTGTGTAAGCGCCGCGCCCCCACCCCTTCTTTTAGAAAAAAAAACAACAGATCAATAACCAAAGTTATTCTTGTTATGCACATTTATTGTTACAATCTTTCAAAATATCTCAGTTTATATGAATTATTAGCCACTTAGCTTTAAAAATTAAAAACAAATGCAGTGTGACTTTTAACTTAATCTTATAGCATGTGTATTTTAATAGTGGTGGTAATTAAATACAGGAAGGCCTTGTACAGGAGTAAGCTTATTAATACTTTGAAGTGCAATATTTGGATGTGGAAAAAGATGGGGCTGATTTTTGTCATGAAAGTTTTTTAAAACTTTGGCTATTTGTTTAATACAGTGTTGTTCATTTAGTCCCATGTACTCATTTCATTTTGTATACTTTCACTAGCCAATTTTATGATTGTGTACATGCTGGAGTGATTGCTAATGCAGATTTTTCAATTTCATTTCTGTTTGCTGCTTCTGTTCAAACGTTCTCTTTTCTATAAGATTTTGAAGGGGAAAAAAAACATCTTTTTATCGTTCATGATTATTTTAGCAAGATTTTAGTTGTAGGGAGTGAAGTAAAAATTGATTATTGTGATAAACTTCTGTAATAAACTTTATTGTAAAAACATTTTGTGCAGATTATTTATAGGATTGATTTATGCCATTCAACAAATATTTATTTCTCAAAACAAAAAGTAGTTCAAGTGTTTAGTTCTATACAAAATTAACAAAAATCGTTTTTGAGGAAAAGATGCAAAATAAATTTACATCTTTATTTGCTCATCATAAATAAGCTTAAGTAAATTTTAGGGACAATTAACCTCAGGGTAAAATTTGTAATATTAATATATTTAAAGAACTGCTTAAAATGCTTGTAGTTTTAACTGTGGAAAATGTTTTTAAAAAATTAACCTCTAACTTTTGATACATATATTGTCTTTTCAACAAACTAGCACATGAGAGAGATACAACTTTGCAGTATGAACTATTTGATTCACTTGCCAGAGAGGAGACAAACAAATATCTCAAGTCATACCAGAAGAACATACATTTTTTGAGGTAGTGTTGCGCTTAGAGTATTGACTCTCCAAGTCTATTATGACTGCTGATACTTCATGTCCAACAAAACAGAATGTAGCTATCGGTAAAGGAAAATAGGAATTTGGTTTCAAATGACTTTGAAGAAGTTGAGACTGCCAGGCATTGCCAAGGCTAAGTTATAGTTGTCAGTTGTTGGCATGACACAACAAAGAGTGGGTCTACATGCATGGTTGTGTCTCAACCAGTCACATTGTCACAATTCAACTATGATTTACTGCAATATTTATAAAATAATAAAATGTCTGTAGAAACCTAGCTGGCCACCTTTTAGAGGAGTTTTTTTAAAGTGACTTCTAACAGGCCCTTTAATCAACATGCACAAATGTAATATATATCGCATAATCAAGTTTTACACTAAAAAACAACAAAACATCCCTTATTGTTAACCCATAATGCAAAGTATGAATCATGTGCTGTCAATTTATTTTGTTTCTAGTGATCCTGTTAATTTTTTTTTTATTACCTCTAAAGATATTGTTAGCTAATTATTGTAATATGTGTTTAGCCCACTTGTGTAGTTTCTTGTTTGTTAAATTTTAAAGGAGAGAATGGGCATGTGGGGAACTCAATGGAGCTCTGTGAATTTGAATAAATTCTGTGAAATACTAACTTCTTCTTCTTATTGAACTGTTGGCATAAAACAGTTTTGTTTTAAACTTTTTATAAGACAATTTTTGTTCAGGTTGTCAGATTATATATTCACTTTAAGATTGATTGAAGTTTTTTTAAAACGAAAACTTTCACAAGCAATTTTCTGTATCATTGGGGACAACATAAAAGAGAAAAGTTCCACACACATTTGGGCTATAGTTCTATGGGTCAGTGACCCATATTTCAGCCATGGACATATCAGCCAATAATACATATGGCAGCCATGGACAGATCAGTCAATGACATGTTGGGCAGCCATTGACAGATCAGATACTGAAACATACAAAAGCCATGGACAGAGATCTGTCAATGGCTTATTTTTATCACTGTTAAATCCCCAATGACACGAAGTCTGCCTATAGTTAGATGAGACACTGACAAACTGAAATTTTTAATGGCATAAAGATGTACATTTGTTATTGAACCAAGGACACTTAAGGGTCTTAGATTTATTTTTCAGACTAGATAAATTTTCACAAGAACAAATTTGTAATACTATGAGGACTGTATATATGGTGTTCAAGAGAGTAACCTTTTTAAAATGTGTACAAACACTTAATTTAATTATAAAAAGACATATTTTACTATTTCTTGAATCAAACCTGATGACCAGCTCGCAATTTTGGCTGAATGGCACAGACACATTAGTAACTGACATTTTGATGTTCAATGCCCAGGCACACAAAATGCACACTGAAAGCTGTGACAGTGCCTAGGTTAAAAGACAGCAGCCGATCTTGCCTAGTTTAAAAGAAAACAGCAGCCAACCCTGTCTTAGGTTAATATGATGGCATACAACCTTGCCTAGGTTAAAAGACAGCAGCCAGCCTTGCCTAGATTAAAAGATAGCCACCAACTAGGCTTTGGGTAAAAAGCAGTCCACTGCATGTTCACAACACAAATTATCAAACAAAAAGATAATTTAATTTTAGAAAGTTAATTTTAATTCACTTCAGAAAAAAACTCTCAAAATATGTCAAGAGTTAAAATAATGTTTTTTTTTGTATTTTTTGTTTTGTTACTACAAATAATTTTTTTATTGTTACAAAAAAGTAATACCATTATGCAAAAGCAATAAAAAGTATAAAAAATCAATACATATGCATGTTGACCCCTTTAGGAATACTGCATTAGGAATTCTAATTTATTCAGGAATGTAATGTACATAAGCTGACATGTCAAAGAATCTTTAAAACCATTAAAGTAAAAATGATGGCATATTTTATATAAAAATAATAAGGTGAAAGGGAAATGGAACAAGCGGACAAACTATGGCATGCCTAAGAAAGTCATGGAAGAAAGGTTTTATTAAAATTGGCAGTTTCTAAAAATTTAACAAGATTGTATTTCAATGAAAACTGTATTTTAAGTAAAACTATCTGTCTCTACTTAATTTGACAGTGGGCAATTATTTCCTTCATACTATTCAATGGAGTCTTAATTAACAGATATTGAACAGATATGAAGCAAATATCATATTTTTCACTTCTGATTTAAAATTTCACTTAAAACATGTACATAAAAGATAAAACAAGGATCCGGAAATTCCACAAATAAGATAAAAGCATTTAAATTCAATGCCCTAAGTAAATCACTAAACCAAAACATTGCCCATATGAATTTAGTAAACATTTATAAAAATAATGAAGCTCAAGCACAAATCAGCTTTAACTTTAACAGCTGAGCTGTAATAAGGAGAAATATGAAAGACTGTTAAGTGATAATCAATGGAAAGGCCAAAAATTGCATCCTATGTGGAATTACATAAATTTAAATGTTTTTCATTTGGTGTACAATTATAAGTGGAATTTTGTGACTGGCAGCATTTAGAAGCATATTCCCTGTTTTCAATCAAATCATCCCAAAATGCATTATGGGAAATTATCTGACTGCTTGAACAGTGGAGTGGTCATCTAACACTTTAAGGATTACATTTGCTCAGGATTTCATAACCCTAAAAAGCTGACCACATATAGGTCTTAGAAAGCTGATTCTATCAGTTGTATAACAACTTATAGCATATATTTAAACGCAGATAAATTTAATAAAATTGTCTTCCCTTTACTGATTTCTGGATCTCTATCAAGGTTTAACCGGTTGTATACAAAAACTTTCTTTTTCAACCACAAGGGATCGACTTGGTTTGTTTCGGTTGTTGCATTTATTGCGTGCGCATTCATTAATGTAACTAAAGTGGATTTCTATGCAATCAAAGTATAGTACTCAAAATAACTGAGTGATAAAACGGAAAATATGATAAGATGAGTAATGGTAACAGAACATATAACTTGTTTCACAGATACTACCATATATGGTATAGGTAATATTCAAATGTAGGTAAAATAGAGTAGCTTGCCCTTTGAAATAGCTTGCCCTTTGAAAATGTCTTAAATTCTTCTGTGGTTGGTTCTGGTTGGTGTGCTTACTATTGTCTCTATTGTGGGTTTGATTCCCATACTGGCAATGTCTGTTCACTTTTCTTAAGTCAATATTTAATAAAGCTGTTTGGGGAGCTCAGGAAAAACTAGTGAATTAATTAGGAACCTATAAAAATAGGAATAAAACATTCAAGATACAGAAGGCCTTCTCCAAGGGCTGGCAACTCTGTTAAACTAAAATACACCAATTGAATATAAGTCTAGGGTGAAGAGTAAATGTTCCCACATTTGCTCCTATTATAAAGGGCAAAAGCTCATGCATTTTTATTATACAGAAGATGTAAATTGTCCCGTCTTTGATTATATTGTGAAGCAAACCCCACATGGAATGTGTCCAACAAAATTGTTTAATATCACACACATAATGCCAAAAGGGCAAATAATATCCCATAAAATGACAAACATTTATATCATTTTAAAAAATAGAATATACAGGAATTTGATTTTGCAATGTCCTGTTTTAATTAGGACATGTCATGTAAACCATGAAAGCTTGTATGTTGGGTCTTTTTGTATCCTCCGTTGACAGTTTCTAATTCTTGAAATTAGTTTCCTTACATTATCTATGAGCCCAAACTTTCAATCAAATACTGCTGCAGTGTTACCAGTGTCTCCTGAGTAGGATGTCTCAGAGATATATCTCCTCTAGAGCCTGTAATGTCATCGGCGCATTGGTTAATCAGCATAGGAAGCTTTTCCGCTACTTTTTGTGGCGGTGAAGATAACAGTCCACCAAAGGTCGAAATGATGCTGCCCCTAAACACTTTGGCACAAACAGTCTGAAAAGGATCAATTTTTAAAATATATATATTACCATGAAAACATCATCATAATCAGTGGCGCTAACGTGAAAACATGTTATAATCAAGAGTTTAAACCAGGATTGTCCAACTTGAAGTAACCCAAGGGCATAATTTTATATTCCTATACGGACATCCTTTAACAGACAATCTTAAACACACAATCTGAACTTTAAGCAAGTTGAAATAATCATTTTTCCAAACATAATACTACAAAATTACACATGAGAAAATATGGATGGCTTTAGATGACATTGAATTTGACATTAGTGATAAGGGATGTGAAAAAAAAAAGTGAGAGCTTTTGAAGAAGAAGAAAAATAAACAAGAGAAAGGGTGAGTATGAATTTAATAAATATTTGAATGTATTTAACTCAGATCAGGAATAACACAGAAGAAATAACCTCAAAAGTAAGAGAGCCCCAGAAAGACAACGGTTTCATGGAAGCAACTAACAGAAATATGCCAGATGATGTTATGTCTACTACTACTGATGACGCTGTGTCAACTATTATATGCTACAGATGACACTGCACTACTACTACTACATACTACAGATGACACTGTGTCTACTACTACAGATGGTGTGTCTGCTACTACAGATGAAGCTGCATCTACTACTACTGATGACACTGTGTCTACTACTACTACATACGACAGATGACACTGTGTCTACTACTACATACTACAGATGACACTGTCTACTACTAAAGATGAAGCTGCGTCTACTACTACAGATGGTGCTGTGTCTACTACTACATACTACAGATGACACTGTCTACTACTAAAGATGAAGCTGCGTCTACTACTACAGATGGTGCTGTGTCTACTACTACATACTACAGATGACACTGTCTACTACTACAGATGAAGCTGCATCTACTACTCCAGATGACACTGTCTACTACTACATACTACAGATGACACAGTCTACTACTACTACAGATGAAGCTGCGTCTACTACTACAGATGGTGCTGTGTCTACTACTGCTGCTACTGTTGCGGTACCCAAAAAATTTAACAGCAGCATTTTCTTTTACCCCTTTAACACTACACCCACTCACTAACAGTGGGTTTTTTTTTTTTCATTATGGAAAAGAGGTTCAGCAAAGGAAAGTGCAGTGGTCAGGGTTATTCTGAAGAGGTTAGGGTTAGACAAACGTTAGGTTATAAGCAAATGATAATTTTCTCATGCTCCCTTACCTGCAAGTTGTTATTAGTTCTTACAGCTGCACATCGACCAGTGTTTTCATTGCACCATCCTTCGCAGTCGAAGATGCTACAGTCTTCATGCTTCAAGCACTGTCTCATGCTCATACTGTGGCCCAAAGCATCATCTGTAATCACTGCATCTGCATCTATAAATCTGACAGCATTGGCAGGGGTGAAACCAAAATGTGGGGATTTGATATCACAAAGCTGAAGCGGCAGCTCCATTGAGTCAGTTTTTTGCACAAAGTTTAGTATTTCCTTGGCCAAGGTGGCTCTTTGTTTCCAGGAAGGAAATTCAGTGCTTAAAAATGCAAAAATTGTATCTATGGATTTGAGACTGGGAATGTACTCTGCAATATATAGCGGTCCACATGCTGCAAAGATTTTGGGGAATACATGCCATTCTTGAAAGACTCTTGCGATTCTCAATTCATTTTGCTTAGCTGCTGACCAGAAGGATCTCGCAAACAAGAGATTTGTTTTAGTGCCTCTGAATTTATCAGCATACTCGCCTCCCCAGATAAGGCTGAGGACATCTTGATTCTCCCTTGCATGAAATCCGTATTCTGTTTTGAGGAGATCTGCAGAAGTTGTAGAAAGACTTTCAGCTGTGATAATGTAATCCTGGATTCTTGGTGACCCCATGCCATTGTGTTTGAGATCAAGAAGGTGCAGAAGTTCATCATCCAGGGATTTCATATAATCTCTAACACTGGATACATTCATGCGGCTCATTTTCAGAACAGCGGGGACTGTCACTCTGGGAACACATATATTAGAACAGTCTGCCTGAAGGACAAATTTGCCATGTCTGTAGTTCAGACAGTTGTGAACTGTCACAAGCTCATCATGGCAAAGGGGTTGGCACAGGTCACCTTCTAGTTCATTGGCTTTATATAATGTGCACTGTCAAAATAGAATGTATAAGAAAAGTTGTAAATTGTAAGTATTCAAAAACAGGTTGTAAATTATTTAACATATGCAGGACTCAAAGACATTATGTAACTCAAACACATGCAGTGTTCAAAGACATTATATAAATACAAAATTACATCTTAAAGTAAGTGTGACAACTCCTGATGGCACTTAATGCTGAGTCCATAGCTCACTTGTGCTTTTAAGTACTGGGTATATCCCATGAGGCATCATGTTGGTTTTTCTATGACTGGCACAAATAAATTATCCATAGATTTTATGAAACTTTTAAAAAAAAACTGACGAGCAATGCAAAATTTATAATAATTCTGGAATCTTTAATGTTTCTGGAATCTAGTTCTATAGGTAGAATAAGATTTTTGCCGTAGAACTCCACCAATAAGGTTAAGATGCTCTCTTTTTGAAAACATGCCACAAAAAAAAAGAACATAGCACATCCTTCCTACATCAAACAAGGTACAATGCAAAAGGTTAATGTTACATTAAAAATATACTGCAAATTCATAAACTAAGTTATTTGCATACAAACAGAGCTGTGCAGAGGATTTTCGGGCCCTGATAAAATACAGAATTTGGGCCCCCACAAAATTTTAAATAATTGTATTAGAAGTAGAAGTATCAATTTCCACCCTTGGGGAGCCCCAATTAGGCTGAACTCCAAGTGATTTACTCAGTTGATGCATCTGTATGGCCCTGCATACAAAAAATATGCAACCACAACAAAGATTCAGCTAAACATAAACCCATCTTAATTATTTTCTTCTAGTCCATATTAGAGGCCGACCGAATTTCGGCTTCGGCGCCGAAAGTGGCCATTTTATCACTTTCGGCCAAGTTTCGGTTTCGGCCGAAACTGAAAAGTTAACTTTCGGCTTAATTTCGGTTTTGGCCGAAAGAGAAAAGTTAACTTTCGGTTTTTCTTCGGTTTCGGCCGAAATTGACTTAGACTTTCGGCCATCCGGCCGAAAGTTACTCAGGTTTTCGGTCATTTAATACTAAGCGAAAGCGATATTTTACAACAATCTAAGCGACATTTAAGAACAAATTAAGCAATCTTTGAGAACAAACTAAATGATATTTAACAACAAACTAAACGATCTTTAACAACAAACTAATGCGATCTTTAAGAACAAACTAAACGATCTTTAACAACAAACCAGGCGATCTTTATGAACAAACTAAACGATCTTTAACAACAAATTAAACGATCTTTAAAACAAACTAAACGATCTTTAAAAAAAAACTAAACGATCTTTAACAACAAACTAAACAATCTTTAACAACAAACTAAACGATCTTTAACAGCAAACTAAACGATCTTTTACAACAAACTAATTCGATCTTTAAGAACAAACTAAACCATCTTTAACAACAAACTAAACGATTTTTAAAACAAACTAAACGATCTTTAACAAAAAACTAAACGATCTTTAACAACAAACTAAACGATCTTTTACAACAAACTAAACAATCTTTTACAACAAACTAAACGATCTTTAACAACAAACTAAACGATCTTTAAGAACAAATTAAGCGATCTTTAACAACAAACTAAGCGATCTTTAAGAACAAATTAAGTGATCTTTAACAACAAACTAAGCGATCTTTAAGAACAAATTAAGCGATCTTTAACAACAAACTAAGCGATCTTTAAGAACAAATTAAGTGATCTTTAACAACAAACTAAGCGATCTTTAACAACAAACAAAGCGATCTTTAACAACAAACTAAGCGATCTTTAACAACAAACTAAGCGATCTTTAAGAACGAATTAAGTGATCTTTAACAACAAACTAAGCGATCTTTAACAACAAACTAAGCGATCTTTAAAAACAAATAAAGTGATCTTTAACAACAAACTAAGTGATCTTTAACAACAAACTAAGCGATCTTTGAGAACAAATTAAGTGATCTTTAACAACAAACTAAGTGATCTTTAACAACAAACTAAGCGATCTTTAAGAACAAATTAAGTGATCTTTAACAACAAACTAAGTGATCTTTAACAACAAACTAAGCGATCTTTAACAACAAACTAAGCGATTTTTAACAACAAACTAAGCGATCTTTAACAACAAACTAAGCGATCTTTAACAACAAACTAAGCGATCTTAAACAACAAACTAAGCGATCTTTAACAACAAACTAAGCGATCTTTAAGAACAGATTAAGTGATCTTTAACAACAAACTAACCGATCAATAACAACCAATTAAACGGTCTTTAACAACAAACTAAGCGATCTTTAAGAACAAATTAAGTGATCTTTTAGAACCACATTTTTTAGAGACCCGGTTTCAAAAAAATAATATTTTGCATTAATTTCCCCTCCTCCTCCCCCCCACCCCCCAATTTCTGCCAAATTTTCTCCTACCATACAAATTTGAAAAAAATTGTAAAGCAATTTAAATTAGTTTTATATTAAAATGGTAAAATCCAAAGTATTCATTAGATCAAGGGTATCAAACTCAAATTATGGGGGGAGGGGGGCGCAAGAGGTAGTGTCTGAATGAGAGTGGGCCGCATCAAGTAATCCACAAAAAAGCGATTACAACTGTTACAATCTGGTCAACCTTTAAAAATAACAAAAAAATCATTAAAGGTTCTCAAGAAATAGGATTCACTTTCATTCACCTACTCACTGTTGCCAGAGAGCTGGCATACAAAAATATATAGAGACATTAAAAAAAAAAATCAGAATTAGATAAGTCGGTGAGATTCGACTGAAACCGTCACTGAGAGTCACGTTATGGATATGAGAATGGGGGAAACAGGCCGGCGCATTTACACTAAACTTTTCTGTCATGTAGCGGGCCGCAAAATATCGTCTTGCGGGTCACAAATGGCTCACTGGCCGCAAGTTTGAGAACCCTAAATTAGATTTTTATTTATTAATATTTACGATTATCTCATTATTATAAAAAGAATGTAAATATTTATATTTTCCCACATCATTTTCGATGTAAGCAGAATGTATGCGGGAACGAATTTCAAAATATCTTAATATTTCATTTTCAGTTTCGGTTACGGCTTCGGCCGAAATTCATTTTTAACTTTCGATCTTTTTTCGGTTTCGGCCGAAAGTCATTTTGAAACATTCGGCCTTTTTTCGGTTTCGGCCGAAAGTCATTTTAAACTTTCGGCCTATTTTCGGCTTCGGCCGAAATCAGAAAATCACTTTCGGTCGGTCTCTACTCTAGACTGGATTATGTGAACTTTATACATATATCTCTAGACTGGATTATGTGAACTTTGTACGTATATTTAGCAAAGAAGTGGTAGCAGCCTAATGACTTTAAAAAAAAAAAATTTCACAGAACTTGAACCTAAAGAATTGTCTGACATGAAAATAATATTTCAAGAAACAAAATAACAGTCGAATCTCTATTAACAGTCGTGCAACTTCTTACCAAAGCCAGCAAAGCCTGTGGCCGATGGAGCTGTTGAAGCAGGTGTTTTTAAGCCAAATGCTGTCAGTCCCCCGGCAGCAGCGGTGCTGCTGGCGGGTAATGCAGGGCCACCAAATCCCGTTAGCCCCCCAGTGGCAGTGCTGCTGGCTGGTAGGGCAAGGCCACCGGAACTGTCAGCGCCGCTGGTGGTTACTTGACCAAAGGAAAAACCTCCAATTTTTGGCTGTGTTGTCTGAGGTTGTGGCTGAGATCCCAAGGTGAATCCAAACCCCCCAGAAACATCACCGGGTGCTATAGTTAAAATATTGAAAAAGTAAACCCAACTGTTAGCTAAGAACTTTCTTTTAAAGCTTGTTCCATATTCTAAGAAGATAAGGTAACAGAGAAGAAGGCATGAATGGGTTAAATTTTATTTGATTTTTTAAGCAAAGACCCAGTGCACAAAATTTCTTTCATGTCACCTAACAAACTTAAAAGAATTTGAACCAAATCAAATTTTATAGGCAGTTAACGGAACAAATTACTTACGCTTCACAGCAGTGGATCCAAAATTAAAGCCTGATCCTGCAGGTGCTGCTGAAGAAGTGGTGGGCGCTCCAAAATTAAAGCCAGCTCCAGTAGGTGCTGCTGAAGAAGTGGCGGAAGCTCCTAGGTTAAAGCCCGCTCCAGTAGGTGCTGCGGACGAAGTGGTGGACGCTCCTAGGTTAAAGCCCCCAAATCCTGTTGTTGTTGAACCAGATGTGGCACCGGTACCAGGAGTCACAGAACCAAATGAAAATCCAGCACTTGTTGCTGTACTAGTGTTTACAGGAGCTCCAAATGAAAAACCACCTGCAATATTGGACATCTACATCTTACAAAAATGAAAACACTCAATACAAATAAATATTGATTTATATTTTCAGCAACAGGACAGGGCCATGCAGAGGAAAAGCTGCGCCTAGGGTGAAGCTGGAAAATGGTGCCCCTTAATACATAGAATGTATTGTGTAATGTAGGAATTCAAATAAACAAAGGGGATTTCACTTATACACAGAAACACAGGGTGAACCGGAAAGCGTAAATTTTCTTTTTCAAATGAACTGGGCAGAGCGATTTGAGTGCTTTGGAAAAATTGCAGCTTTCCAAGGCATGTGCAATACAATCAACACTTTCTGTTTCCACCCTTTTGAATTTTGAAAAAAAAAAAAATATTCACCTGCAATATTTTAAAAACTATTTTTATTATTTTTCTTCATTTTTACGCTCTCCAATTGTCACCACAGTGTGTAACTAGCACATGTGGAGAGATGAGGTTTAGTTATACTCAAGGGAAGGGAGTGACCATAGGTTGTTAAGATTTCTTGTTGCATATCTAAGGTGATACAATAAAGTTGCTACGTTGCCAGCAAAATTTATGTATGGTCATGGGAAGGAAGCATTGCACTCTACATATTGTGAATTATGCTTAGGGCCAATCTCCCCCTACCCATCACCTGTCTTTTTTAAATAGAACAATGAGGCCAGTGATGGGTAGGGCGAGATGCTTCCCATCCAATTATTATGCATTGGGTAATATGCAAAGCCTCCTAGGCATAACTTGCTATGGGTAGAGTGCAATGCTTCTGTCCACATATATTAGGGATGAACCATTGAATGTCACCTTAGGCTTATAAGGATTGCGATAAAGCTTTTAAGTAGATTAATTAGACACACACACGAAATTATAAAGTTTTATGGACAAAAATAATCAAAAATTAACAAGATTTAGATTTTTTATTTAAAAAAAACTACAGGGTGTATGAAATTGTGAGTTTGTTTGTACCCTTTTAAGGTATATTTCATTTTACAATGACCGCTATGTCATGAATGTACTAGTGGTGTGGACAGCACCACCTCATTTTGTGACACAATTCTGTTGAATGTTGTAAATAATAATGTATTTAAACTAATACCTGTAAAATGTTTTATTTTATACTTTGTTTATTTATAATTTATTTATGTTTTCATTTTCATTGTAAAAAAATGTGCACTTATTAATTATTTTAATTCAGCTAAATAATAATTAATCTTAATAATGGGGTCATCATTACAATAACAGAGTGCAGGTGAATAGTGAATATCCTACTAACTTATAAATAATGGTATTTGGAAAAAATAAGCACAAATGAACGTTCGTTATAAAATATATATTAATATAATATAATTATTATATATTCACTGCTCTCAGTTTCACTCAATTCACTGGTGTTTACCTTTTTGTTTTACACTTGTCACTTAGCCTATACAAAAATGCTTTTTCATTTGCATTGATATTGTCTACAACTACTTCTACTAACTTAAACTACTTTAATACTTGCTCAGTTTTATATCCTGTAACTTCAAATAAATCATCAGTCTTAACAATTAATGATTAGAATTTATCAACAAATCACGAATCTGACTTTTTTTCGCATTCCGATTAATAATTAATGTCAATATTTATTACAAATATAAGCGAATACAACTTACTTGAAGATGTGGGATTAGCAGAAAACATGTTTATTTGATTTAATCTTTAAATGATTTATTTCGTATTTAATAAATAAATAATTGAATTTGAACCCTGAAATTTAATAGTAATATAGATGAAATTGACCCAATCCGCCTTCGAATTGTGTATGGCGGATGCGAGTTCTCTGATGACGGAAAACTGAAACTGACGTTTTGTTAAAAGTATGAAAATCTTACTTCGACTTTTATTTATGTTTATAATAATGAGATCCATAGAAATATGCTTAAAATTATAGTTAATAAATCCTTATAAAATATAAAGTATTTTTAATATAATAATTATATTTGAAATATCTAAAAGTTACAAATCCTTTAATGTTAATAGCGTTTTCTTTTCTTTTTTTTTTAAGTCTGAGTATTGCGATTCTAAAAATTAATAATAACATGCCTTCTGCCAGTAAAAAAATTATCTGGCAACAAAGAATTAACGAAAACTTAAGAATGGTTTTAAGGAACATTTCTCAAACATACGTTTTAAAGACATGATTAAAATTTTTATCAAAGAAATTATTTTTAATGAAATTTATTTAATATAAATAAGTAGTATTTAAATTAAGTAAGTTACATGCATAATTGTAATGAGACCAATTTTAAACTCTTTAAGTTCCCACTAAATTATCTGGCCAATTTACTTGTTTCACTTTTCCGATGTTGTAGTTGTTGAGTCCGTCGACTTATAACTATCTCTACATGTTTGTATGTCACGATGTCAATAAACCACACTCGTTTTATTGCTAGAACCGTTATGGTTGCAAATAATCAAGTTGATTCTGCCTACAATATATTAGATCGGTAGGTTCTAATTACACTACCGTTTTTGTTTGTTGGTTAGTCTAGATAAATGGTAGAATTTGAAATGAATGAATAAGAATGGTTTTAGTTTTATACTGACTGACCTTCCGCCTTCTCAATTCAATTCTGACTTTAGTAATCTCTCACTACCCGGTATCAATCACAGTCATTGTCTGTCACAGAATCACTGATTAAGTATGCAGCGTAACAATCATTTCACTCGAGTTTCACAATTCTTAATTCTGGCTAAGCCACACACTATCACGGGAATCACACTAAAATAACCCTTTTTTTTATAATTTATAGTATTAGTATGCATGCATTTGAATTTTGAAATTATGTTATAAATTCAACCCAGCCTAAATACTTTAAACTATCATAAAATCAAATTTCTGATCACCTTCATACTATAAGCAATATTATTTCAGAAACACAGTGTTATACAAATAGTCTACATGCCGACTGCCATAACAAAGTTGGGCCAGATATCTGTCCGTCAGCCTTGTCAAGTGGCTGCTAATAGTCAATCATAAAATTGGCATTGGAGATGCATGGGGGGGCGACGAGTATACACTTCATTTCAAGAAATAAGGGGTGGGGGATGCATACTAGAAGGAAGAAATACTGAGAGAAAGGATAAAAATGATAGTGAGGGTGATAAATAATTGGCAGTGTCTACACGCGCCGGACGTATATCTCCCGCATATCTTTGTCCGGCGACTAAGTCACATGACCGCCGTAACAAAGTGGCGAGAGATGTCTTGTCGGTCAGCCTTGTCACGTGACTGCGAATGATTCAAAACTATAGTTAATTTTAAAATCTATTTCTCTACCAAGTAATGTACTGAGTATCTTGAATGCAAATAATAGAAACAAACTTAAGTGAAAGTGGCTTGTAAATATTTTTGTTTAGTTTTTTATTTGAGTTTGTGTACCAGTAATCCATGAAATAAATTAGGGGCCAGTTTGGATTAGGAGCACCAATAAAAGTAAAAGATTTCATTTTAAATTGCTACAAAATATTTCAAAATTTCTCAAGAAACTGCTGTTGCTGATGAACGAACATGATAATATAAATTAAATAAATATAGTATAAAATATTTTTAATTAAAATGGGGAGAAAAAAACCGATCCTACACGAGGTATTGATCCTCAAATCATAATAACGCCAAGCGACCACTCTACCACAAGACCACACAATATCTCCCAAACTGCATTTCGTTCGGAATAATAACAACTACTAGCCGTCTGGCAGTCACGTGACATGCCGCGCACTATTTGTCCTGCGTGCCGGACGTGTAGACACTTCGTAAATAATTAAGGCGGGGAGGTCAAAAGAAATAGACCCTACATTTAAAGTTAATATATGTGTGCTGTTGGGGTAGCTTTCTTCTCACGCAATATTAATAGCCTAAAATAAAAAATGTTTGACAGTAGATCTATTGACAGTCAACTGGCAAGTATTGATCTTAATTTCTTTGGTTCATATTTTAAATTTAGGCTTCTAGGTAGAGCTTTATAAGATATTTAAACCAAGATAACGGACTTTAAAAAAAATTTTGCTGGCGACCTCTTGTCACATGGCATGTCTGCCGGAATAATAACACATACTAGTCGTCCGGCGTTCATGTGACATGCCCGCCAGAAGAATATCTCCTGCACCATTTGTCCGGTCGCCTGATTTGTAGACACTGCCTTTCAGAAAATGTCAAAGTCAAGTTATAGTTACTTTTATTGAAAATTGTGATATTGGTGAATTTTTTCATTCACTCCCTTCAAATTTCTGTCCCGCAAAATACAAGAGGGAAGGCACGAAATGAGTTCAAAAATTATTTTTCATGTGATGTTATTAAATCCATTTTTTTATTACCTAATACACCAGAACAAACATAAATATATTTGAGGTAATCTTTGGGATCAAATCTGTGCTTTTTTTCTGTTTGATTTCCAGCCTTTCCCAAACCAATTTGTCTGTAGCAATACAACTATGCTTAGGGCTAAAATTGTCAGTATCTGACTCTTGTCACGACATCACCGCTAGAGCTAATATACTGTCATTACTAGCACTTGGAATATCTTTGAAATCTAATTCATTTTAATATTTTTAAAATAATTCCAATAAAGAAATTCTGTTTTAATTTTGAAATCTAGAGGGGGACCCTCTCCAGCATCAGACATGGCAGTAAAATTAAAATAAAATTGAGAAAATTTCACATCCGATTAATCACCCAAAAATCCCTGTTAAAAGCACATCACCACACTGATAGTAAGGGAAATAGGAAGCAAACTCATTTATATAGAGTTATTTCCCCTTAAACAACATACATTTAAATCAATAAGCATTTTTAACTACGATTTTGCTAGGGTCCGATTATTTCGGCTGCAACACCACAAAAAGGGTATAACGACAGATCATCAGCTGTTATGACAGTTATAGTATAGGGTTAAAAAAACACTGACTTATTAAAAAAATATAATTTAATCACTTTTCGCAATATTCCACAAGAAAATTATTATGTAATCCTCAGTATTCTCAAAGGAAAAAAAACACTTTCTGGCACAATAATTAAAGAATTACTTAAGATATTACTTAAGAACAATCATGAAACCTCTTACTTACCTCAAGCAATGACTAGGACTTATTTTAATTTCTATCAAATTAAATACATGTTGATTTGTGAAACAACATTACCAACTTAAAATAAGTGACATATTATTTTTTTTAGCCAAATTCATATGGGACTAAAATATATAAATAGAAACTGATAAAATAAAAACTATAATTATAATCATATATTTTAACTAAATGAATCAAATAATCCATGTATAATTTGTTTATACAAATAAATGTTAAACAATTTCAAATATTATAAATGTTGTATATTTGTTAAACAAATTAATACGGTATCTTAAGAATATTATTTTGGAGAATTTACAAAATATATTTTTTAAAATGTTATTAATTTAATACAAATAAGTGTTGAGTCAGCATATGTGATATTTTTTTAAATAAAGAGAATTATAATTATATACATTAAAGAAATTTTGGGAGGAATATTTACAATAACTAAATTTCCCTGTAAATATTATATTTTTATCTCATTTTTAATGAAGATTTAGGGTAAAACTAGTAAAAGCAAAAGTCGGGTCACAAATTGTGGAGGAAAACTTCTATCAGGTTTTAAAAATGTGGCTTTGAGGTCCTTACTAAGAAATTCATAACATTTGAACCACTTAAGCTAGAAAGATAATCTTTGTGTTTTTATAATCCATTATCTTGGCTATTTAGATTTTTATATTTGTGAAAATGTTTTGAAATTTTTACCATTAGTTCTTACCAAATACTAGTAAAACACATTGAATGCGCAGTTAATAATTTTTTACCAAGCACATGTTCAAATGTGATAATTGTCACTCAACTAATGTAAGCACTGTCCGAAAACTTGTTATTTGTGGCTATAATGCCACTGGAAAGCATACAAGTAGCTTCAAAACAGGCCGCAGCTTATTCAAACTTAATAATAACGCAATTTACTATTGGTCTGCATCCAAACTCCCCCAGTATTTTGTGTGTGATTTCTGGGTGAATGGAATGTACAAAATCTTGGTCATGCCCATATCCTACGACATCAAGTTGGTAAACTTCGTTTTTTATTTGATCAGCATAGCCATCCAATGCATCAATAACAATGACACTTCCTGGAAGTACATGATCGGTTATAATGCGTTAAAGTGTTTGCGCATTTCTCCATGTTATGATTGGCAACCAACAATGAACAGTAACGTGTTCAACCATTCCAACAACCCAAGAGCAGCGTCACGGACGACCATGATGATATTTGCGATGACAGCAATGTGTTTCATCAACCTCAACATAATTAGGTTGCCCAATGGCATTGAAGCCTCCAAGCTGAACTTGTTGAGTTGGGAAACCAATTGTGACCCTCAATGCGGATAAAGTTGACAATGGTGTCCCAAATTTTAATGCTTTCCAAAAGTATAACATGCTTGCTTTTCACTTTTTAAAATCAATAGTATATCAGCATGACAATTTTTTGTGTGCTAAGCCCACAGTTTGCAAAAAATGACCTGGTGTGCACACTGCATCTGCATTGCATTGAGGGCATTTCTATGAGTAGCCATGAGGTGACTCAGCATGTTGGACTAAAGATATGGGACTTTGACAATTACAGCAGCTATTGTTGATTCATATTAGATGGTGTTCAGCAAGCCACACTAACCAAAGCATGCTGTCATACAGTGCCTTCAGCATTTTGTTTGCAGAATATTTCCTGGTCAAACATCTGAAATATGAAATGGCACTTGAGGTCTGCCTGCCATGTTATGGTTTATTTTAGTTTGTTACCAGCAATAACTAGTCTGCAAACAAACTAAGACATACAAATGATGTCACCAATTATCGAGGTGATTAGGCTGGTACCCAACACGTTCTAACAAAAAATATTCTATTTGACATTTGGGACCTCTGTTCTGAGGCTTACCAATGCTTTTATTAATCCAAATAAATGGAAAGGCCTCAGTCTGGTATTTTTAATGTAGATGAGCCATGAAGTTTATTTCTAAACTTGTATACTTGAAGAACCTGGGCTCTTCAACACAGTCCTTACCGACAGTTCCCAGTGTGGATGGACACGGAAAGAAGTACCGGTATTTGGAGGGCGCTCTTTTTTAAAATAGTGCCAAAACTATGGAACAGTTTGCCTCAATCTTTTAGGGAAATTGAAAATGATAAAAAATAATTTAAGAAACATTTAAAGAAATTTTTCTTTACTAAATAGATTTTAGGAGACCAGAGCGCTGTGAGCCTGTGAGCAAGCTAGAATAGCATGGATACAAATGATATAAAAGTATTCCATCAATCAATCAATCAATCAATCTCTATAGTATTTATTATAATATAGGCATGCTGTTATTAATGCATCTATGTAGACATGTGACTTTGTCTGTATTACAGTTACAGACATTCATAATATTAGTTCAAATGACCATCATGTCTAATAACATTGAAAAAAATTTAAGGATCAGTAAATAAATATTAAAAAGCTGTTCAGCTTGTCTTTAATCTTTGGTTCATACTGTGTTGCATTAGAATTATTTACATAATTAAATTTGAATTCAATATTATCAGCAAGTCTAGGAAATCTCCAACCATAAAGATTTCGTCATAATGTCATGAATTTTATTATTTATTTCAGTATTCTAAAGAGGGAAAAGATCTTCTCTGATTTTAAAAGGAAAGAAAGATACGAGAAGCCATTTTTAACAAGAAACCGTCTGGCCTATGAACGATGCCGCAGAATTTATGACTCTGAAATGCAAAGAAAGATTGCGTTTGTCATGAGGAAGAATAGACCTGATCCATTTTTGAGATGAGTTTGTTTCAGTCACCTTTATTTGATGGACGAGACGTGAGATTTCAACTTGATGAGATGTAAACATGTAACCTGGAGCAAAATAAACATTTTGTCAAATGACTGGTGTTATTTAATTTCATTAAAATTCCACCTCTTTCCACATCCCCATTTTTAATTATTATGTATCTATTTTCGCTTCAGTTTTTATGATAGTGAAGAACTAAAATTTAAGCTACAAAGTAGGTAACAAATAATGGGATTAACTGGTAGACTTTCCTTTTAATGTCATTGAACCAATCCACTCAAGAGTTATATTACCATGAAAATTTCAATTCTGTCATTAAATTCCACATCGAAGTTAGTCAGTATTTTTTTTCATCAATTCCCACACTTAGTACAATAACAAATAAATTGCACATACGATCAATGTCTTGAACCCAAGTTGAGCAAACAGAATAAAATAGCATGGCCCCCAGGGGAAACATCTCTGGGAATAACTTGGTACCGGGTACAAATGACAATGGGAAAAGAGTTCTCAAAATGCACATATTTTTGTCACTATCCATTTCTTGAGTTGCATCGATTTTATTTATAAAAAATGTTACCCTGGTCCATCATTAAATCAAGGGAATACCGCTTTGAATTTTAGACAGTTGCAGAATTACGGTACCTACATATGTTTATATCATTATCTAGAATTGAGGAAGGAACATTAAAATATGCGGATATTTATAATTTACTTAGGGACTTGAAATTGGTGGAATGTGGGGGGGGGAGTGTTTTCACTGAGAAAAGGGAAAATCTTGAACATCTGATAAAGTATGGCACCCTGTGATAAGATAATCATGAATGGCAATGGAAGCCCTACACATGTACCAGTACAAACTTTACAATCTGTTTCTCATTAAATTAACTGCATCCTCTCCACCACTGCGCCACCCAGCTCTACCACTGCGCCGCCCAGCTCCACCACTGCACCGCCCAGCTTCACTACTGCGCCTCACTGCTACCGCAAATGTTAACTTGTTTTTACTTTTTTTTTTTGTACTTATATTTTTATGGAGAATAATTGCGGAAGGAGGAAAAAATTTTCAATTAAGTTTTCAAAACAAATCACGGGTTATTGTTCTTATTCTATAATCTTATATATAACTAGTAAAAGTTATAGAGAGTGCAAAATTTTTTAAATCTTTTGAAAAGGGCGACAGAAATACTACGAAATTTGTTTGTGAAGTTTTAAATTTTAGTGTGTCAATTTGTTTGTGAACTTGTACAATTTAGTGAGTCAATTTGTTTGTGAACTTTTACAATTTAGTGAGTCAATTTGTTTGTTAACTTGTACAATTTAGTGAGTCAATTTGTTTGTGAACTTTTACAATTTAGTGAGTCAATTTGTTTGTTAACTTGTACAATTTAGTGAGTCAATTTGTTTGTGAACTTTTACAATTTAGTGAGTCAATTTGTTTGTGAACTTGTACAATTTAGTGAGTCAATTTGTTTGTGAACTTGTACAATTTAGTGAGTCAATTTGTTTGTGAACTTGTACAATTTAGTGAGTCAATTTGTTTGTGAACTTGTACAATTTAGTGAGTCAATTTGTTTGTGAACTTGTACAATTTAGTGAGTCAATTTGTTTGTGAACTTGTACAATTTAGTGAGTCAATTTGTTTGTGAACTTTTACAATTTAGTGAGTCAATTTGTTTGTGAACTTGTACAATTTAGCGAGTCAATTTGTTTGTGAACTTTTACAATTTAGTGAGTCAATTTGTTTGTGAACTTGTACAATTTAGTGAGTCAATTTGTTTGTGAACTTTTACAATTTAGTGAGTCAATTTGTTTGTTTCGATTTTTTTGTCGACGGGAGATAATAATTAAAATAAAGCAGTAAAATGGACGTCCCGGGTTACCTAACGTTTGACTCCGCTACCGTGATTCTCTTTCATTCAAACTTAAAACACTAACAGATAACTAATTCAACTGCAGCTAGGCCCAGTGATCAAAGCAATGCCACGAGATGACCTGAATTCTGCCAAGGATCATGGTCGACTCGGACTGTTGGCTGGGAGGGGGCTGGGGACCGCGCACGCTTTTGACACACTCTTCCTAATGGAAAGTTGAAAATTTGATAGATATAACTTACACAAGTCGGTTTTAAAACAGATCATAGTAAAATCTAAGAGAAGGGTGCAACCAGAGGAGGTTAGGTTGCATCAGAGCGGTTAGTCTCAGGTAGCCACAAGAAAAGGTGCTACTAGAGGAGGGTGCCATCAGAGCGGTTAGTCTCAGGTAGCCACAAGAAAAGGTGCAACCACAGGAGGTTGCATCAGAGTGGTTAGTCTCAGGTAGCCACAAGAAAGGTGCCACCAGAGGAGGTTGCATCAGAGTGGTTAGTCTCAGGTAGCCACAAGAAAAGGTGCAACCACAGGAGGTTGCATAAGAGTGGTTAGTCTCAGGTAGCCACAAGAAAGGTGCCACCAGAGGAGGTTGCATCAGAGCGGTTAGTCTCAGGTAGCCACAAGAAAAGGTGCTACTAGAGGAGGGTGCCATCAGATCGGTTATTCTCAGGTAGCCATCAGTGCGGTTAGTCTCAGGTAGCCATCAGAGTGGTTAGTCTCAGGTAGCCATCAGAGCGGTTAGTCTCAGGTAGCCATCAGAGCGGTTAGTCTCAGGTAGCCATCAGAGCGGTTAGTCTCAGGTAGCCATCAGAGCGGTTAGTCTCAGGTAGCCATCAGTGCGGTTAGTGTCAGGTAGCCATCAGAGTGGTTAGTCTCAGGTAGCCATCAGAGCGGTTAGTCTCAGGTAGCCATCAGAGCGGTTAGTCTCGGGTAGCCATCAGAGTGGTTAGTCTCAGGTAGCCATCAGAGCGGTTAGTCTCAGGTAGCCATCAGAGCGGTTAGTCTCAGGTAGCCACAAGAAAAGTTGCCACCAGAGGAGGGTGCAATCAGAGCGGTTAGTTTCAGGTAGCCATCAGAGCGGTTAGTCTCAGGTAGCCATCAGTGTGGTTAGTCTCAGGTAGCCATCAGAGCGGTTAGTCTCAGGTATCCATCAGACCGGTTAGTCTCAGGTAGCCATCAGAGCAGTTAGTCTCAGGTAGCCACAAGAAAAGGTGCCACCCGCTGAGCTGGCTGACTGCGTGAAGTCATGGGGGGGAGGGGGGTTGACACTTTCAGTTATATGCACTGAGTGACACTGACAGCAAACCTAGTAACGCCTCTGCTACAGGCTACTGCAAACAAAAAACAAATCAACAGATCTCTCTCAAATTCTGTCACACTGAGGCGGTGCCATGGCTAGAGTTTGTGACACGAGGGGCGGGCCTTGACTTTAAAGCCCCCCCCCCCTCACTCACGGCACCCGGGCCGCGAATGCCATTTTATGAAGTTTATTAGGAATATGAAACATTTTATTTTTACAACAATTTACTTTCCTGAGAGTTGCTAAAACCACTTTAACTTTAAAGTGTCGTGTCCCAAATGTAGGGGGACGAAATGAGTCAAGAACTTCCTCAACAATTGTTTGAAGACTTAACAATAATTGTAGCCACTGTACTGTGCCGAGCAGGCAGGAAAGATTTGCACTCGGTACTTTCCACATAAAATGTACTAGACACGCAATTGTGCTATGAATGCTTCCGTTTTCATTGCACTTTTATAACACGGTCTCAACGGTGCGGAGAGCAGAGTGGTTTATTTATAGATTAGAACACGGTCTCAACGGTGCGGAGAGTAGAGTGGTTTATTTATAGATTAGAACACGGTCTCAACGGTGCGGAGAGCAGAGTGGTTTATTTATAGATTAGAACACGGTCTCAACGGTGCGGAGAGTAGAGTGGTTTATTTATAGATTAGAACACGCGCGGGAATTTTTGCACAACGTGACAGACATCAACAATCCTTCTGCTGGTCATTGTGTAAGTCCCAGCCGTTGATCCAACGATTCTTACCACCGGGGGCCCACATATTGTGCGATTGCAATGGGAAAGATGGAGATCAAGGTCATTACAAGCAGGGCATCACTGGTGCTCGCGAGGTGCACTCAAAACAATGATCCTATGTCAATACATAATTCTCTAGAAAAATGTCCTTTTGTCAATACATAATTCTCTAGAAAAATGTCTTCATGTCAATACATAATTCTCTAGAAAAATGTCCCTATGACAATACATAATTCTCTAGAAAAATGTCTTCATGTCAATACATAATTCTCTAGAAAAATGTCCCTATGTCATTTTGTGAAAAACTGAATCAAATTAAGTAAATTTTTAGCAATTTGATGAACAAAAACATTGAGTTCATTCATATAAACATATAATTCATCATGTAACAAATAATATGTTCACATTTTAGATTGATTTCGCGAAATTTTCCAGAGCAAGAAAAATAAAATTCACCAAAGGTGCACCAGACAGCTTGCACTAGAAATTTTTGCACCAGACAGCGTGCACCAGACAGCGTGCACCAGACAGCGTGCACCAGACAGTTTGCACCAGACAGCGTGCACCAGACAGCGTGCAATATTTGCGTTCGATATGCGTGTAAGATAAGCTTTGTATTTCTAAAAATAACTGGTGCGTGGAAATACTTGAGTATATAGGATGTAGGCTTCGGACATGGGCCCTACTGTGGCGATGAGTAGGTTGTCTAGGGTTAGCTCCCCTTCGCACGCTCGTCACATTGGCTAGTCTTTTACTAAGTTCAGAGATGTAGACCTCACTGTGGAAACATGACAGCAAAAGCCACCGTCGGGCTGCATTCAAGATAATAATATAACGATATCATACATGATGACCAGATGGTTCGAGACTATTGTATAGACTTGACGATCTACCATCTTTAAGTGTCAGGCCCATTCCAAGATAACAGCTTTGGGGTCAAGCTCACCGCTTCATCTTGTGTTGCATCGATGTGAGCAGGTAGGACAGGTTGGTGCACCTTGTTGTCATATTACTAAAAGGCTTTTGATGTGTGTGTGTGCAGTTTCTTTAAACTACAACATTTTATTGTATTTCTAATGGTAAATAAGGAGCGTGTTGGCGTCGAAATAAAGTCATATTCCCATTTTGCGAATACGCGAGAACCCCTGTTATAATCAATATAGGAATGTCGATAGAGTTGATCA